TCATCACGTTCAACAAGAAGAAAACTTTCATGTTTCTTAGTTTTATTTTTATGTTGACTATCATCAACACGAATTACATGTGGCCATTGATGAAGAAGTTTAGCAAAAAATGGATTTGTCACACCAATTATAATTTTTGGGGGTGACGCTAATGTTTTTGTCGAAGTATTAAATGTTATTTCATGAAATTCACTGTTATGTATTGTAAAAAATGGACGATAATCCGATGCATATCTTAATGGCCATATAATATGAACTAAAAAGATTTAGAAAAATTTATTTGAGGATCAAATTCATATCTGTTAAATTTTCTCAGATATTCTCATCGGAAAAATCTGAAGTAGAGCATTCAGAGATTTAATTAAATGATTTTTTTTAATCTATAAAAATAGTTTACCAAGTGCTTGAATTGTTTGTGAACATTCTGTTGGAAAACTTCCAAGTATTGCAATAGGTTCGTTAAGTAATATTAATTCCCATAGAAGTTGAATATGTGTTAATACACATAACAATGATTGATGTGTATTAACATCATACACAAATGGAATGAGACGTGGCAGTTGTTGTTGTTGTTGTTGTTGTTCATGTTTTGGTAGAACGTCAGTTGTTAACTAAATCAAATACTTGTTAAAAGAGAACGGAAAGAAAAATAATTTTATTATTACATCTTGTTCGGATCCATCAATTTCAGTATCATCATCGATAGGAAATTTAAATGACTGACTGCTATTCGTATTCACTATCGATGTTTCATTAACAATCGTACGAAATTGAACAAGATCTGATGGAGAAAATGGTTTATCACCATGTGTTGGAATACGTATTTGAAGTACACTATCTAATAATGGTAATAATAAAGTTTTTCCAGGTTCAGGTTCTGGCCATTGATGATCCATTAAATAACAACATGATTCTAAACTTGATAAACCATGTTCAAAAAAATCGACTGCAAGTTGTTTAACAATAGTTAAAAAAAGTGAAATAAATGGTAATTTCGATAAAAGAACAAATGATTTTTGGAAAAAACCACGTTTTATTGTTTTATCACGTTTTTGTCGAAAATTAACATAGCCAAATAATACATTATTATCAACTTGTAATGCTGCTGGAACAGTTGAATTATAATATTGATAGTATGTTGGTAAATTTGATGATTCATGATTAATACGAAAATGATATTGAAAATCACCGAGACATGTAGAATTTGTATCGGGAAATGATAAATAAGATAAATTCAATTTTTCTTTATCACTTAATTTACAATGCTTTGGTAACAGATATTCGATTGATTGTCCTAATTCTAAATCAAATGTTACAACAGCAATACCATACAACCATTTCTGTAAACAATCCCATGGAAGATGTGCTGGATTAGATGATGTAGCTGTAGGTGATGTTGGTGCTGATATATTAGATGTAGTATTCGTTGATTGTGATGCGAGATTTGATGATGAAGATGAACTATTTAAATGAGTACGCGTTAAACGACGTTCATTTGCTAATAGATCACGATCTGAATGAGAACGATGAAACCCCGATGATGTTGGCGATAATGGAACAGCTAAGTTCATGATACTAAGAAAAATAATAGAGTAATTAGTTTTGAAGAAAAAAAAAGACGCAAAATAAAAGGTGCAAAAAACCATGTCGATTAAAAATATTATCAACAAAACACTTATCTTTTTTTAGAACTTTTTTTTTATGATAAGAACACTTGTGTATTTAAAGTGCATTATCATGGATCGTAGATACCTAGTTTACATAGTATGACGTACTAGCGCAATTTCATGACACTTCTAAAGCCTACTTTTTTGAAAATTTAATACAAAAAACTTCTATCAACTCTCACGTTTCCTGTTCGATTTATCATATAGAAAAAAAAAGAATTGTCGAACTGGAATAATTTTTATGATGTTCCTCAAATTATTAAATATATATGCAAGAAGCAGTATAAAGTACAGAGGTACAATATGATAAAAGGTAAGACTTTGATCTATGAATTATTCTATCACAAATTTATCAATCTTTAAAAAGAATCTCGTAAATATTAAAAATTTAGATATAAAGTTTTGTTTAGACTAGCAGAATAATTTACTAACATTTTATTAATAATAAAGAATAAAATTTATTTTTAACATTCCTTTTAATTATCACATTTATAATTAATAATAGCTTGCGGTGTAAAATGATTAATTTTTAATGGATGCATATTTATATAACTATAAATAAATAGCACTTAATTTCAGTTTTAAAAGAAACAACTCAAAAATATGACCTAGATTATTTTATTTTACTTACATAAAGCACTTCTTTAGGTGTCTGTTAATATTTAGTAAAGACTATTTAGAAAAAGGAAACTTACTTTTTGTCAATTCGTGTCAATAATCATGTCTAAAATAAACAAATAGAAAAAGAAATATTACACGAACATAAATGAAAAGAAAAGACCACACTGTCTAGTTTATATTGTCACAAATATAAAGTTTGAATACAAAAACAAATCACATGAAAAAGAAAAAGACAGATAACCACGGCAAAACAAAATACACACTGTTGCACAACAAATAAATATGATTAATAAAGAGAACAAAAAAATAATAATAATAGTAATAATACTGTTTTTATTTTGTCTTTTAACGTGTTGCTGTTGTTGTTTTTGAATTACTTTTATTACTTGTTTCTTCTCGTTGACAATAAAGTTCTTTTAATTGTCGTAGCTCTTCAATTAATGCTTTATTTTGAGCTTCAAGTCCAGCTACTCGTTCTTCAAGACATTTTATATATTCTTTTTTCTTTCGACGACATTCACGTGCTGCCTCTCTAAGAAAAAGAAAAGCAAACAAATGATAAAAATAAATATATATACGAACAAAAATAATCTTACCGGTTTTTCTGTAAACGCACTTCTCGTTTCCTTGTTGGATCACCACCCTCTCCATGTCTTCTAGTTTGATGGTGTTGCTGATGATGACTTGATGATGGTGGATTTGAAGAATTTGATGAGGATGATGGAGACGGCATATCAGTATTTGATGATGGATTCATTTTATAGTTTGATGCCAGATCAGTAAGACCTTTAATTTAAAACAAAATCTTTATTATTTATAGAAAAACATCTTGCAAACATAAATTGTCTGCTTGTATATCCGCAGGGTCAAAAAAACATCGAAAACCGATTTTTCGAAAAAGGCATTTCTAGAGGTATTTCAATGCGGGACTTCGAATCTGAGGTCAAAAAAACATCGAAGACCGATTTTCCAGTAAATGTGAAGAGGATATATTTCTAAGAGAATTAGCTAAGCGAGTCCTCGAACGAGCGTTACCTGTCAGTTATATGCTCTCATTTATTCAATACATTTCAAATTTTAGTGACGAGATTTATTTTTTCTATTAATCATATTCTCGGAATGTTCGAACATATTTGATAAACTATTAACGTATTTTCTTCATCCAGAGACAAATTTAGGGAATATATTTCAATACCCGAAACGAAATATGATCCAGCACCATCTGATAAATGAGCTGGATTTAATGTTGACATCAGATGACTATTAGTATTTGTCATTGGAATAATCGATAGACCATTTAATGTTTCACGTGGATTAAGATGAACAGTAGTAACTACTGAAAGAACGAAAAAAAGCAAATACATAATTATTGTATTTTGATTTCTAATAAGAAAGAACCTGTTGGTGGTGGTAACTGTATATTCTTCGTTTTTGATCGATTCGTTTTCGAATATATTTCTTGTAAAGAATTATTTTCAATTTCTTCTTGTTTTATTGTTTCACTCAATAGTTTACTAAACATGGGCAAAGAATGAGAAAGAAAAAAAAATGCATGTTTGAAGTTTCGATATCTGCATACCTGACTATTGGTTGAGTAATAACTAAATTGTCAGAATATATTTTATTTGATCGATTATGATCTAATGACGAAATTGTTGAATTCAAAGGTGTAGTAATTACGAATGAAATTGGTGGTATTTTTGTATTAATATTGAAGTTATCAGTTACTGATGAAAGGTTTGGTATATGTATATAATTTTTGTTGTTCATGAAAATCAAACAAATTCAGAATGGTAAACATACTTGAAATTAAATATATATCTTATGTAAAAATAGAAAAGCCAAGGTCGAATATTAATATAGAATTTTATGTATTGCAATTAATAAAAAGAATTATTTTTTCTAATAGTTTTTCTAATAAAAATAGGTAAGAGATTTTAAGAAGATGGATTTGGCAGATATTTAATAAAATTATTTGTCTGACAGCTGTATACTTCTATGACGTCATGAAAATGTGTATGTGTTCTGATTTGTTGAAAAAAATATGCAATGAAAAATAAATATGATAGATTAAAAACTTTTTGTTTAGTATATAAAACAGATTAACTACTAAATATTTAATACGTATTAAATTGATAATTTTTTTAAATTAATCGAAGAAAAGACAAGTATCGAATGTGGCGACATCATTGTTCTGACTTATCGCTACTTTTATTAAAATTACTATTATTTGTCCTATCTATCAGTATAAATTATTGTCTCGGTATAAACACTCTTCACAGTCATTCTATTGTATCGAAGTCTCAATTTTAGAGTTACCTGTGAGATAATATGATACCTGTTTATAACAAAACATGCAGTAGTTTCATACCAAATTTATACAATCAATGACGAACGATTCTACAATATATAACGGAATATCAAAATAATTTATTTTTATCTGAATCAATAGCAAAAAGAATAAAAATAACAATACAACTAGTTTATTAGTGAATTACGGCTCATTCATCAAAAATATATTTTCATATTGATAGTTCCGAAAGGCGGAAACAAGTGGATTTTCACCGGAACCAGCCGGAAACTTGTGGGAATGGCACCGGAATCTGTAGAGAAAAGCTGGAAATCAACGAAACATAGAAACAGTATTCCGGATCGGATGTCTGCGAGTTTTTCCCTTGATTTCCAATCATTTCCGATGAGAAAAAGCAGGAAGTTGACCATGTATCAGCGAAAAAATCCTAAGATATCCACTTTGAAATACCGCTTTTATATTCCGTTGGTTTTCGATGTTATCCTAACAGATATAATTCTTATTTCTTAGGATAGATGTTTTTCAATAATTGAATATTTACTATATCAGCAAAAACGAATCTAACTATGAATTTCAAAAAATTGTGCTATACCTACACTGAAGTTCTAGTTCAAAAAAGATAAATCTGAGTTATGATGCATAATGAGTGTAACTTTTACAGGAACACTTAAACAAAATAATTATTATTATTACGTAAGTTAGAAATATTGCATATCATAGAAGTACTACATACATCAAATATTTGATTATTACTTCGGATTTATTTTAATTAATTAAATCGACAATTCTGAATAAGTGGATATAGCTATGGGTAAAAAGAAGAACAATAGCAATTCACATGCTTACAATGTATGTATCAACCGCATCTTCAAAATCTATTGAATGTATTTTAAAGAAAATAGTTTTTCTGTACATATTCATCTTTATTTGAAATTCTTATTTATTTGGTCAGGAAAACTTCCAGATTGGGCTTATTTGACTTCACAATAGGCCGACTGCCTAAAAGAGTCTATTGAGGTCGAATATTTGTAGGATTTCATATGGCTTGTAATCAAATAGATATTGGCACACTATACAATTATAGCAGTTCGAAAACATCAGTTGCTTACTGATTTAAAATTGTAAATTCAAAGATGAATCAAAACGTTTATACTAATAAATATTGGTCCTTTGTCTTCAGTATAAAAATTAACAAGATATGCGAAAAAAAAATCTTATTTGCCGTTCTATTTTGAGAATAAATATTGTTATAATTGAAAATTTGTTTTAGTAATACAAATAGAGCAAAATCAATACATAAGATATGAGCAATTTCAAGAGAAACAACAGAATCATCAATGTTAATTGGAATTGCACTAAAAGTCTATACCATACAAAAGAAGGTCTTTTTCTTACATCTATAAATTGAAATAACTTTTTAAGTATTGAAACTTATAAGTGGATAGAAAAGAAGAATGTGCACTTGAAATTCAATTAAGACATATAAATGATACTTTTTTTTATAACCGGATTTTTTTATACATTATTTCTTCATATAGATTCATCCCTTTAATGCATTTATTTATCATCAGTTAAATTTTCTTTTCTCTGGCAACAAAAAACGGAAAAGTTAGGAAACTATTGTTGACATGTCATAAACTTTTCTTTTTTCCTTAGTGTGGTATTGCTTTTATTAAATAAGTTACTTCTTCAGCCACAGCAACAAATACAAATTGAAGTTGATCCTAAATGAAACACAAATAAAAATTTAGATATGTTTTTACTGATGTATATATATGTTTCATCTTACTTTTGTTTTAACCATTTGAGGTCGTTGATCACGAATATGTTCAAGTGTAGCAGCTATATTTATTTCTCGTGCTCCTTTATAAATACGATTCAAGACTATATCAAGTAAGATATATGTACCAGTACGTCCAATACCATCACTTGAAAATAAAAACAAACAAATAAATAAATAGAGTAATTCAGTTATAGATACATACTTGCAATGAACAATAATAGGCGATGATTGACCACGAAAACATCTGTTTACTTTGCTATAAATATAAAAGAATATTAGTTAACGACAGAGAAAAAAAAAGGGGAAAAAGTTTCGTTTTTCTTGCAATTAAAATGAAATTATGTCAATAGGTACTTTTCATCAGGTCGCTTTTGTGACTATGCAATTATTGGTTTCCAAATTGCATAATTTTCAAAAGCTGCCTAAAGAGAAGTGCAGTTTTTCTTTCATTGCATGTAAATGTCCATTAGTTGAAGGGAAGACGTCAAATTAATAATCGTCTTTTTTGTCATAATCATTAAGAAAAGTGTACTTTGCGATTCCTTTTTTTCTTCTTCTTCCAAAGAAATACAAATGCAACTTAGTCACGTGCATATATATACTCATCTGTAATCGTATCTTAGACAATAAATTATTTTAGTTTTGTGTCTCTCATTAATTTCAAACAAATGAGTAAGAATAGCATAATTATTTTCCACTTCTTTTTCTTTTGTCTATAAAACATACCGTCGAAAATCAAGTAAAGATTTAGCTGATGGTGGATTGCACAATTCATCCCATGTTAAATAATGAAATTGTGTTACAGTACGTGTTTCCATTGTTTGAAGATTTTTTAAATAAAAACTTCGAACAACATAATCATCCGACCAAATATGTTCCGAAACAAGATTTACCTTTAAAAATATATCACAAAAGTTTTTGCTAAAAAACAAAGATTTCTTTTTTTTTCTCCTTACTTCATAATCATTGAATCGTGCAGAACCTTCAACTGGCCAATAATGATGACACATTGTAATACCATTTTCAACTAGAATAGAAATTTATCAATGGAGAAGAAAAAAAAATTTCATTCTACTTGGTCTAGCCAATGCTACAATAACACATGATCCTTGTTCCCAAACCATTTGCCAAAATGCATTTGTTGTATTTGGTATGGGACCTTGTGTAGCTATATATTTGCATTTTGGATCAGAATCAACCTATATATACATTCATTTACTTATTAAATGATAATAATACAATTGTTATTAAACTTACAATTGTACTTGCATTTATATAATCATCATCGTCGGCATCATTATTTTCAAGTCGAACACGAGTATGATCATCTTTAAATGAGAAAAAAAGAAAAGAAAATGAGAAATAGTCTTTTTTAATGAAGATATCTCTATTTAAATCCTAAGATAATATATGAGTACATGCGCGCACAAGACATTTCTTCTTATAAATGCATGAAAAAAAAGGAAACGAGGAGTTATACTACTCAAATTTCGACTATCAGCTCTAATTAATAGTAAGAAGAAAAGAAAAGACGAACGGAACTAACGTTTACCTTTCTTCTCTTCTTCTTCTTCTTCTTATTCTATTCTTTTGAATAGAATGCCAATGCATATGTTTATAAATAAATAAGAAAGAGAAGCTTTTGAATAGTTATGTTTAGTATATATGACTCAATGGGAGCGGCATGAATAAAGTGCATATATATATAGAGAGAGAGAGAAAGGGAGGGAGAGGGAGAGAGAATTAAATATTAGCTGATGTGTGTCTATCATTAATTTAATCAAGAGATCACAATTTAACTTACATGGTATACGATCAATATAACGATTCTTTTTATAATTCGTTTCAGAAAGTGCAACAGAACATGATGCTTGTTCTTCATTTGCTTCATCAGTACATAGTGATTGCCATTCAGCTTCTAGACGATGTCGATCACGTAGATGATCTTCCATATAAGACTAAAAATCAATTTATACATAAATATCAACTTTAAGATAATTTACAAACCAAAATTAAATGTCCAGTCATAATATCCATATTTATCGGAGTTACAGGTTCTTCGCTCCATGATGATGTAGAACTTTGTGATGATGAACGTTCACTATTATGTTTGATACGACTATTGCTTGATGCTACTTGATGAGTTTCTGATGATTTCTGATCTTTTGATTGTGTTTGCATTCGTCGTCGACATAAATCCTTTTCAAAAGATATTCTTTCTTTTTTCTTTCTATTCTAATTCCTTTTAATTAATATTTTCTTACCTGATAATCATTCGTTGATAAACCTTTAATTCGAGTTATTTCAACAAATTTATCTCGAATATGACTGTTTCGTTTAATAAAATAGAATAATGTAAATGAACATATAATAAAAATAGCCAAAATACAGGTAGCCAATATAAGAATTGGTAAACGTGAACCATTTTGTCGTTCAACTGATAATTGAGCACTCTTTAAACAAAAAAGAAAACGAGGAAAAAACTCTTTTCTTCTTCTTCTTCTTCGTCTTCTTCTTTTTCTTTCTTTATTAATATTAATATTCTGTCTTTTATTTCATTGGAGAAATCTTATCATTTTGAATATTTTATTTTTCTTTTTACTTACAATCTTAACACAAAAGGTGTCATATAGTAATAGAAACGTCAATGAGGAAAAAACTTGAAAGAATTATTTCTTTCGTTTTCTACAATTGTGTTAATAAGTTGTCTACTGATAGAAAGAGAGAGAGAGAAAAAAGCATAGTCCGACAATATACTAGTTGCAATGAATTATCAATTATGCATGCATTTGCGTGTGAATCTAATAGACGCTCAATCTTTGTTAGCGTGCTCACTCGTATAACTAGCTATGGAAAAGTCACACCGACAAATATATGCATATAAAGAGAGAGAGAGAGAGATGGGAAGAAAATATTCAATAGAATTTTGTTACTATTCATTCATCTATTTGTTAATTTTTATAGAATAAAACACGACTATAATAGCACTTGTATATCTGAAACGAATAACAATGTAATCAATAATATTGTTATAATCCGTTTTTTTATTCTATCCATATGCTTAATATATACATAATTGTTTTCTAAATAAAATATTCTATTAAACTTACTCGAATAGTTAGATGCAAACAGGAAATATAATGTTTAACATAGTCTGCTTGTAATTAATCTACTCTATGCATAATAATAAAAAAAAAGAGATACATCTCTATCTTTTCTATTCTATTCATAAAGAGAAGGAGAGAGAAAAAAAAGAGAAGCGATTCTTTCATATATATATATTTTTTGTTCTTCCTCGCATCTTTAAACAATAGTAAAGTAGAATAAGATACTGAAAAGCTTTTTTTCTTCGTCTTCTTCTTCTTCGTTTCTTACTGCTCACTGTTATATAGTATTGTTTAACATCATTCATCATTTATAGATCATCTTGCTGTGTGTGTGTCTGAGAGGTTCATACTGTCATTGTATTCTTTCTGATAGTGTATTCAACATGCATGATGTATTTCACTCGACAAGAAAAAAAAAAGAGTCAAGTATCGACGTTTAACCCTCAAGGCATCTTCTAATTGCAATCACTAGTCACTAGTAAGACACTACACAATAGTAAGATAATATTTCTTCTGTCTTTCATTTCTATATGTTATATCTTACTTGATTTATATTACCAATACCGGAATTGATTATATGAATACCTAATTGATTTTCAATAATATGTTGATTATATTCTGTAAAATAAAGATAAATATTAGATTTTCGTAAATTATCAAAATATGAAACATATGATTATTCTGCTTATTGTCATATTATAGTTTACAACTGCCTCTTGAGAACCAATATAAGTATGCAATTTGTCAAAGAAACGGACGGAAGACAAAAAAAGAGGATGTGCTATCTGTCCGTCAAAAAAAAGAAGACAAAGACAAAAGCCATATAAAAAAAAGTGAAATTGAGCGGATAATTTTTTGAAATAATTAATAATAAAATAGATAGAACGATGTCAGAAAAGGAAATGAATGGATCAATGAAAGGAAATGACAACAGTAGACTGATTAAAAACAATGTTTAAAGATACAAAATTTCTCGCCAAAATAGTTTGACAAAGAAACCAATTATATAAAATGTTCAAAGTAAACGATTTTCCAAGTTTAATTGTGCATATTTTTAAATATTATTAATTTGACATGTTTAAGGACAAAAAAAGAAAACTTTGTTTTTCAATAACAAATGTCATATCCATTTTAAAGAAAAGCTATTGAGACAATGTCAACAGACAAAGTCAGTATACTATCATTATTGAAGATAGAAACATATTTTTAATTTTTACAGACGATTACTATTATGACAATTAAGAATTTCTTTGTCAGATTAGACTTAATAACATTAAAAAGGATGAAGATGAACTGTTAAGGAAATAATTTTTGATAGAATTTAATTAAACTCATAGAAATAGAGGTAAGACCCTCGATTGATTTACATTAACAGAATTTGATCTAATAGGAATTTTCTTAAAAGTGGCGGTCACTTTATAGTTTATCATATAGGACTTCGACTTGTAACGATGAAATTCATATATGAGAAAAATTCCAGATTAAATTAATCTTGTTCGGTTTCTCTATTAAAGCCATAATCGCATCAACTCAAACTGTTTTGAAATTCCTTTGGAACAATACACGAAATATTTTCTTATAAGTACCCTTTTAACAGTAGCTAAAGTTTTCGATTTTAAACATAAATTTATATTATAAATAAATTTCTCATTAATTTGACAGTTTTGACATAACTTACGAATGGCATTAACAACATTGCTTGCATTAACTCGATAAGCATTATTCAAAACATGAAATGTAAATGTATTTTTATACGCACTTCATTAAAAAAGAAAGGATTATAAAGAAATAAAAATTATTTATTTTCATACTTCAATCCAGTAAATATTGTTGCTGGCCAATAATTCATTTGCGCAATAAGTGCCAATAATCGAGCTCCTTCTATTTGATCCTTAAAGCTAGACGAATATATAAGAGATTAGACAACTATAGATATGGTATATGTATAATTATACTCTCGATTGATTACAATATAGCCGCTAGTTGTTTCAGCTGTCAAATAACGATGAACACCAGTACCCTTGAATAACATATTGTTATTTGCCAGATTTTTATTCACTTTAATGGTGAGAAAAATATAGAAATTTTATATGAAAAAATAAATATTCATACTCATTGCTTCTTGACTTAATTTCGGTATTATTTGTTTATTGTTATTAATTTGTAATGTTTCGACTAAACTTGGATAACCTTCGTTCATTTGCATAGACATTTTATTTGGTTCTTCTTCAAAAAAAAATAAAACTAACAAATAAAAATATATATATTTTAAATAAAATTCATTACTCATGCTCGATTCTTTTGCAATGATTTTTGTTGGTCTTTCTATAGATACAAAATCGTCATTATCAATAGGAATCTTTTGATGGGATGTTGCTTCGATAAATGATGTTAATTCAGATTGTTCTTTCGTACTCATTGGTAACAATGTATCAGGTGATCTATCAAGATCAAAAAACAAACTTTTTGATTTTATTGGCCATGGATATAATTCCTGCGAATCTACCACTAGAAATAGATATAAATAAAAATAAAGATAAAAATTTTATTATTTTTGTATTACTATAATCGTCATCAATTTGACGATGATTAATATCGACATCTTCTTGTTTTTCTGCAATATTATTTAAAAATTCATTTTTATTTAAACAATCTTGATAAAATAATTGTAAACTATTATGATTTTGTTGAGCAAATAATATATGTGATAGAATACATTGTGTCATAAAATCTTTCCAATCAAGATGATAACGATTTAAAAATTCTACTGTATTTTCCAATATCGATAATTTATTTTTCGTAAGCCCATCAAGACTATTTTCCACTGATCTTTCACCATTCCAACATTGGCCAAAAAGTGCATCTATATTCGAAAGAAATTAATCAAATTTATGCAAATGAAAAACAACGCTTTTTAATTTACTAAATAATGTAATATGTAGACAAACCTTAAAGAAACGTGAATGCGATAGAATAATTTAACATTTTTAAATAAATTGTTTATATATAAGTAAATATTCTCGTCATAGTTCTAAATATATTCAATGTTACGGGAAAACACTCAGACGTCGCGTTTCACTTAAATAAATAAGAATGCAACATAAGCTTTTAAAATATTTGCAATATAATAGAGAAAAAAAACGGAAATCAATTTAAAGATTATACACTTAGTATATCTTTTAAAAAGAAACAATGAAAATTCTGTTTAAATGAGAATGTATTCACTTCGTACTTTTTTTTCTCTATATCACTATATCTCTGAATAATATATACAATTGCTCTCTTTCAAAGAAATTCTTATAGAAAATAATTACTCTTTTGATACTAAAAAAAACTTTTTCAATAGATTTTAAATTAATATGATAGTTGATTAGTTATTTAATAAGTTTGCTAGTTTTTACATGGTAAATTAAGCATAAAAGATGTTCTTCATTTAAGTAAAATGACACAGATTAAAGATTGTGATAGTTTTGTAGAAATATCTCGAAGTTTATTTACAGGAATATTTTCATGATTATTATCAAATTAATATATGCCACTTAACAATTTGATTCTTAAAAAAATTTTCATAATACGTAATATTAAGCTTACCATCTAAACAAGTTTCATATTGATTGCATACGTTTGAATCATATTTGCAACCTATTATTATAAGATAAATTTTATCTTTATTCGATATTAAAAAGAAAATGTCAAACCTAATAGTCCTTCAAAAATAATTTCTTGTTTAGGCATAAAATTCTCTTTATTAAACAATATATCATCATTATTGAAGTTGACATGTCGTTTTTGACGTCGTAATTTAGCATTATTATCAATTTTTTCTGTTGGCACACCGTAAATAAATGGTAATGGATTTAAAAGTAAAATACATATAATAGTAATCAAACGATGATAAGTTGAGGATGAAGAGAAGAAAAAAGAAAAGGATGAACTGACCATATCCAGTAAAATTTAATAATAGAAGAATATGTTAATGTTTGTAACTATTATTATTGTGATGTCAATCATGCTGGCCTTTCGTCGTTCGGAAAAAAAAAGAAGAAAAATATAGCGAAGAGGAGGAGAAAATTTTTTTTTCTTTCGCTTAATAATTATGAATTGATAAGCATATTCCGAAAAGATGTTAGCAAAGGATAAAGTCATTTTTTTTCTCTCTCTCTCATTTTCTTCTTACTATCATTTGTTAAAGCATTTAAGATACACAAAAAAATATATATACTCATTCAATAAACCATATGTTTAGTGTAGAAGGCAAAAATATAAATAATACAAATTAATGGCTTGCTGGAATAACTCGAATAAGGGCATTGAATTAATATATAAATAGATTATATTTTTATTTATGTCAAGTTCCTGAATTTATCTGTCGTTTCATTATTATTATTCTATTTTCATCCTTAAAAATAGAATGATGATAAGTAACAGACATATTCCTTTAAACTCATTGACAATACGTATAACTGTTGTAAAAAAACATTTGTTTGAATCCCTACTGGGAAACAACTAGGATAGAAAATGAAACATTGTTAACTCCTCTTAATTATCTATCAACGTTTACATGCAATATTCATCGTAAAAATACACAAGATTGTTCTTATAATTTAAGAACTAAAGGAAAAGAAGAAAAAATATGCAAGCAAGTCGATTTACTGAAAAATAAAGAATAAGATCGACTATTTCTATTTCTTTTTCTTTTCCTATTTTCTTTTCCGTAAACATACATTTAGAGAAGAAATAATTGTAGGCAATAATACGCAGCTGTTCATTAGATTCTTTCGGTGAATATTCATATAGCCAACCGAACACAAGAATAAAATGCTCGTATGGAAAAAAAAATAAGGAACTGCAATAGATTATGAATTTCAACAATGACACAATATAAAAAGGATTATTTATTTAATCTACTAAAATATTTTTATGATCATCTGTACATAATTAAATATTAAAATCTTTCGAAATACCAATTGATATTCTTGAATTATTTGATTTTGATCGTAATGACTTTCTTTAACTACTTGTTGTCGCGACCTGTATTTTCACTATCAATGAATTATAAGGAAAGTCATCCGACAGTATTAATACGTATAACTAGATCGATAGATAATATCGAAAGTCAAAAAATAAGGACATTTGTATTGATAGATTAGAAGGATATCATTAGTACAATAGAAAGAGCTTTATATTTTTCTTTCAGAATTTTTCCATTTCGAGATTTCATATCAGATCTTTTATAATAACAGATTCGATCATAGTAGGATTAGTGTCAATTATTTGATTATAGTATGAATGGCAATGTGCCGCTTTGACTATTATTTGTTAATGTTTGAGAAAAACAACAATGAAATAGTTTTTTTACCTTGTTTACAACGACATGTTCAAGTCACGATACAGACTTTTATATTGTGTATATGGATTATGATTGGTATGAAACTATTGATTTTTAAAATTGCGAATTGTACGGATTTCTAAGGATACTAAGTGATGATATAAAACATTGATCAACAACATCACGCTCTCAGAAATGAATTAAAAATAAACAGTGTTACTAAAATTCATTAATCTAATTTGTTAACTCTTCTGCAGCAAATTATGAGACAAGTAACTTTTTATAAAACAAATCTTTCATCTTTTATAGAATTATTTAGTAGTTCATATTATTGTTCACTATTATTTATAGAATAGTTATTCTAAACTCGTAACTAGATCGTTTTCAACTTTAGTCCTGTTTCTTTACTAATTACAGTCAATCCAGAAATATTTCTCTAACTTAAAATACAGTAGAATCTTTCCATGAATTACTTATTCATGTATTTCTCATTATTTTCTTCAACAAATTAACGATTCTCGCAGTATATAAAGTACTTTTATTTGTATCAATATTGAATACCTTTTCGGTGTGTAAGTTTATTTTAACTAATACAAATAATGATCAAAATGATTATTACAGTAATAAATATTCTTATTGACAATATATTGATGAATGTCAAAACTACTAAATATATTATATACATGTTAAGTTCCCTTGTATTCTATGAGCAAAAACTCAGTTGTATAAATTTTGATTAGGAAACGTATCATTTAAAAACATAGTCTAAACTACGTTTAAGTTGTTCTCGACATGCTCAAATACTATGAGTCTATAAAATCCTTCGACAATGTCATCAAGTTTTCTAGAATTATAAGAGTATATCACAGGTTTGCATTATGCCTTGTTATTTATTACAATGCTTCAAATCTTTTAAGATATTCTTGTAGCTTTATAAAAATCCATTTTAAATATTATTTTTATTAATAATTAATTTTCGCAGATCAATCTTAAACTTGTGTTAAAATATACGAATAAATACAATTTTCCTTTTGGTTAATCTGATATAATATTAAATGACAATAAAAAATCTTATGTATACAATAAAAAGAAAATGTTTTTTTCAAAAAGTAGTATCTATTCAAGTTTTCGTCGACTAGCTGTAAACCGTTGCATGTACTAAAATAGAGAATCGATATATACTTAATTTTTATCAAATATATATAATTACTTGTTCGTATCCTTCTTTGCCTTGAAAAGCTTTTTCATCAAATCGATTTCCATCATATGAAAGTAATGATAAATTTGAATCAAGTAATAAACTAACTGGAATAAGATCTAAATTAAGATTATTTCGATCAAGACGTAATGTTTTCAAACGAGGACATAAACGAATATGATCCGAAATTTTATTCACCTAAAAAATAATAAATAGATAAATATTAAAAAAAAGAAAAATATCTTACTCGATTGTCATTAAGATTTAATTCATCAACTTGAAGTGTTTGAATTTGATCTGGAATTTGTGTTATTTGATTCGATGATAAATCAAGTAATTGTAAATTTTGTAATTTAAGTATTGATTCAGGAATAATTGTAAAACGATTATTTGATAAAGTTATATGTTTTAAATTACTTAAATTTGCAAATGATGATGGTAATGTATAAAGTTGATTTTGACCTAATTGAATATTTTCAAGTTTTTTCAATTGACCAAAACAATCAGGTAATTGAACTAAAAATTTAAAAATTTATTTTTAATAGATAAGAAAGAATCCTACCGATTTGATTATTTCGAAGACTTAAATTTTTTAAATTAACCATTAAACTAATTTCCGTAGGAATTGTTTGAAGTTCATTATCATTCAATGATAAACTACGCAAACCTGGTAGACAAAGACCAGGATTTATCTAATAAATAATCGAAATTAAGAGATGTATCATTCAATTGATTTCTACATACTTCCTTTAGTTTCTTATTATCATATTGAAGTACACCTGTTTTTGTTGCCGTTTCAATATGTTTTTTCAAGGGACTATTACCAGTAGCACTATTATTATTTCCCATTATGGTACAGTATTAAACGATAAATAATATGGGAAACTAGTTCTGAATAGGTATATATATATTCAGTCATATGCTGTTACATTTATTTCAAATGCTAAAGAAATAATCAGATGATTTGATTGATCAGTCAAAAGATATAAATATAGTGTATGACAATAGATGTCTATAGATACAGGAATACATTCGACAAACACTACGGATTATAATGTTTGTAAGAATCAAATAAAATATAGTGTACGAGAGTTTTTGTTTGATTGTTTTACAAATTGATTGACATTATTATAGAATCCTATAATGGATGATGTTTCATAGAAGTAATTAAATATTATATCATCAAACTAAGTCTTTAGAAGAAAAAAAGCGGAATGAATAACCTTGAAAAAAAATCTAAAATACGTGTCAAGATCATCTATGACGTAATTCTATTGCATGTCACACACATACACGTCATTAGGTACGTGTATAATGAACAATCATGTGCTTACTAAACATGAGAATATAGTGAAATAGATGATTTTAATATTTCATAAAACGCGATTGTCAGTACATGTTGAATTCAATAAGAAATGAACAGAATCTTTTCATTGACACGGATTCTATTCGAATTGTTTTTTTTTCTCGTAATCATACATAATTCAGTAGAGACTTTTTAATTCGACTTTTCTTTCCTATCACTGCAAGGTTAATGAACCTATGAATCATTTTTTTTTGCAGCAAAGAATTCAAGTGTAATAATTATATTCTATTAACACCTTGTCAGAACTATTTATAGACATTTAATACATGAATGATTAAATGTTTAATCACAAACAGTTCATTTTAGTTCACATTATACATTTCTTTGAAAAACAGAAAACATATAAGTTGATATTATCTTTTCATAAACCGATATAGCTTATTTACTTTTCTCCGTTAAACATATATTATTCCAAAGTATAGAATTTTTATTTTTTACAAATATATGAAAGTACATATTCGATGTTGGTAAACATACACTCATTCGCAAAGTTTTTATTTCTATCATGTCACAGTTGTTCGGAATATGAATGACTATTATAAGAAGTACTATCATCTGATACAACTACTACTACAGGTGGTTGTTGTTGTTGTTGCCGAATGTCTGATGTTGGAGAATCGGCAAACATTGGATTATAGAGTTTTCGTTTATTATTTGAAATTTCATCATTAAGATACGCATAATTATTATATGGATATGGTGGTACATTCATATTTGCACCATGTGTAACAACAGATTCGATAACAACTGGATTATTATCAATAATTTGTTTATGATGTTGACGACGACGACGTGTTGCTTCAGCTATTGTTGTTGCTGTTGTTGTTTGAAGAAAATGACAACAAAATAATTTTTTACCTTGTTTCCATCGAGATAATAAAATAATAAATAGAATTAAGATAATAAATGTAATAATACTAAATACAATACTAAGTATAATTTTGACTGTAGGATTTTTTATTTTATAAGAAGTTTTTGATAATGAAAATGTTTTATGAATTATTCCATCATGATTTATTGAACCTGGTTCACAATAATCTGATGTACAATCAATAGATGATTTTGAACAAGCATATTGAAATTGTTTATCCGTAAGTGAATCGAATGATTGAATTGTTTGATTATTAAGACATTGTCCAAATAATTGTAATGAATTTTCTCTTGCTATAGGTAACCAACATGATGTACAATTAAGTGTAACATGTTCAATTCGTAATGTTTTTAAACCAATTAATGGAAATAATATACATGCATCAAATTCAAGTAAACTTGTACTTGATAAATCAAGATATTGTAATGATTTAAGATATTTAAAAGAATCTTGAATAATACCTAGAGATAAATTGATTTATATTAAATAAAGCAGCTATTATATTACAGTGTAAATCGCTTTCGGACAATCATTCATTTTTACCTGTAATTTTAAAACAATAGCTTATGGAAATTTTCTATACATTTCATTACACATATCTTATCAAGAAATAGCAGTTGATACATAAATCTGATGAAATCTAAAGATTTCAACTGATCTTAAAAACAATCGATTTCGAGTGCTCACTTACTGAAGGAATTGATACTTATACTCAAGCATCAAGTACTTTTACATGTTCGATAAGCTCATTTTGTTGTGTGTGTTGAAGTAGTGTCAGTTATGTATTTTTGCTTTTCGACGATAGAACAAGTAAATGATATCTTCCGTCTCTTATACTTACATATAAAAATGCAATGATGTTTACCCTGATAATAATGCTATGACAACATCGAACATATGTTCTAAAGTGATCATATTTAAACGTTTAATACTTATTCCTCACATTTGTACTAAAGCATCAAACACTTCAAAACCTTTTCTTTTCAATTGAAGTAGTATGAAAAATATATTTCTATTCATCCATGATACAGCAAATAGATAATATTCTACACTCTTTGACCTTATGTATATTGTGATAACATTAAATAATTTAATTACTTACAATTTAAATTTCTATTTGATGCTAATGATAACCAAGTTAAATTATTGAGACCCATAAGCGCATATCGAGGTATACTAGAAAGTTTATTAAATGATAAATCAAGTATAGTTAAAGAAGTCCATTGATGAATTTTATCGGGAAATATATCGATTTGATTACGTGATAAATTTAATTCGCGTAAATTAGATAACTGAATATGATCGAAAGAAATAACTTCAAGTTGATTTAATGCTAAATTTAATTTTTTTAAATAAATTAATTTTGAATTTAACCAATTTGATGATATATTTACTAATTGATTCATTTCTAAATTAAGTTCAATAAGAATATCACCGATTGAATCAAATGTATTATCATGTATAGCTGTTATTAAATTTGATTTTAATAATAAACGTTTCATACGTAATGATAAAAGTTTTTTTGAATCTAATGATTCAAAATTACGTGATGAAAAATCAACAATTTCCCATATTATTCTATGTGAACAATTTTCTATATAAGGTAAATCAAGTAAATAATATGAACAATTCAAAGTCAATTCTTCTGTAGGACAATGACATGCTGTTGTTTGACAAAAGATACATGATTGTTCAATTGATACAATAGAAGTCTCTGTTGAATTGAAATTATTATCAGTTAGAATACTGGATATAATAAATAATATAAGAAAAAATACGAAATTGATTTGATACATTTGATCTAATAAAGAAAAAAAAAGAAAGTGATGATTTCTTGTACGTACAAAAAGAAATGAGAAAAAAAAGAGAATGAGGAAAAAAGCCTAAGTTAAAATGATGAATGTGAACCAGCATAGAACATTGTCTGTATTAAAGAACGTAAGAATGAGAAAGAAGAAAAAAAAAGAATGAAGAGAGAAAAAAATTGGTCAAGAGTTCATCGTTAAATGGAAGAACGAATGTGACCGAATGTATTGTATGTATCGAAGTATAAAATATTAAGCAAATTTCTAATGAAAAGAAACAAATACATAGTCTTCTTAAATGTCTTATACATACGTAGATATAGAATACATAAATCACCTATGATTTTAATTCATATCAATCACAGGATAAAGTTTTAACCAATTTAGCTTGTGTTCAATAACGTTGGTGAGAAACAGATGGGACAAGGCAAACATTTGGCACATTGAAAAGATTGCATAATGGTATACAATCATCATCATACTTACATGGTAGTTTTTGTTTAACGAAAAAAAGACGAAAGTGATTTACAAGTTATAAAATAATGCGGAAGTTAAGAGAACAAGTAAATGCGAAAGTCTAATGACTCTACAAAGAATGGTTATTCTATAATTGAAAAATAATAATCTATACTTTTTCCTTTTAATTTAGTTAGCATTTAAAAGAACATAGGCTAACTAGACCTTTACTAATGTCACTGATGTTGAATAATAGACACTATTGTCTTTGTGTACTAAGCAATTAAAAACCTTTTTTGTATTACATAATGTTAATATTAGTTCTTCCATATGGAAGCGATTTATTTTTCTTTCAAGAAAAAACTTTAAATTATAAATTCTATTTAACCAATATAGTTTGTCAATAGTTGATAAGTAACTAAAGTCAACTAACTTTTCGTTATAATTTACAATAGCAAAAAGTTTAATTAATATAACTATTTATTTATTTATTTATATCACATTGATTGATCGATCATTTCATCTAATCATATATGATTTATAACGATTAATGTACTATTACATCTAACCTTCTAAAAAATACATTTTATATACTTTATCTTACATTAGTATTGTATAAAATTTGAATGATATATTTGAGATTTATCATCTGCTAGAAAACGTTAACATAAAACAAACATGATACTCTAAGATATGTTTTCGAAATTAATTTTTATTACCACTCTAGATTAAAAATAAAAAATAATTTACAATTATAAAGAAAAAAAAAAAATTTTTGGTTGTTTCTACATGATAATTAATTATTTTAAAAAGAACGTTTTTCAAGTTTAACAAATATTGCTTCAGGTTGTATAACAAGTCTTTCTTGTCTTTGAAATCCTTCTTCAATTTTATCACCAGCTAATACTCGATATTCACGAAGTAATTGAATTAAACACATCTTTAATTCCATCAAAGCAAATCTCATTCCAATACAATTTCGTGGACCTACACCAAACGGGATCCAAGCAACTGGATGACGTTTTACACTATGTCGTTCAGGTAAAAACAGATTTGGATCTTCCGGTCCCCATAAATCTGCATTGTAATGAATAGAAAATATATCCGGTTGAATTATACTATCTATAACGAAAATAAAAATCGATGAATGAATATGAATTTTTATACTATTACCAACCTTTTTCAATAATATGACCACAAACATTTGCAGTTGTATTGCACTCTCTTGATTGTCCTTTACTTGTTATAGGATACATTCGAAGAACTTCACGAACGAACAGATCTAGATAAGAAAGATTTACTGCTTGTTGATAAATATCTTCATCATCATTATTATTCTTCCAATCGATTTGATTGATTTCTGCAACAAGTTTATCTTGAATATGTGGTTCTGTAGCGAGTACATAAGTTGAATAAGCAAGTGCAGTTGATGTTGTTTCATAACCAGCAATCATGAAAAGAAATACATTACTAACAACTTCATCTGAATGTAATACTTTTGACATTAATCGTTCATCACTATGATCCTAAAAATGAAATTATAGAAGTTGTTTTTTTTTCAAATAAATCTTACTTTAACTTTATCATGTGTTGAAGCATCCATCATAAGTTGTAATAAATCTACACGTTTTAATGATGATGTACGTCGAATATTAACAACATCTCTAACACGATTTGTTAACCATGAACCAGGTGTTTCCTCAATATATTTACTTAATGATGGAATTAATCTTATTAATATTCTACGAATAGCAATTTGAAATAAAAATAAATAACGAAAAGGATTGATAAAAAATGGTAATAAATTAGTTAATTTAACTATAGATAATCTATCAACATCGATTTCAAATGTTCCAGCTGATTTTCTTAAATATATATTATCAGTATCATTTTGCATATCAGTATCAATACCAAATGCACAACGACCTAAATAAAAAAAATTACAGCATAATATATATCATAGATAATTATATACTTACATATAACATCCATTGTCATGCGTTTATATAATAGATATATATTAATTTCAGTATTTTTATTATGAACAATACTAGATATTTTATTTAACATTGCTGTAATACAATTATTAACAAGTGGAGACATTAGCTGAAGTTTTGTCGATGAAAATGTTGGATTGATAACTTGTCGTTGACGACGCCATCTCGCTCCAATTGCACTAAATAAATGCACTTTATGACCGGTTTGAAGACGTAATATAACTGGTAAACGACGTGAATGAAATGATGAAAATTGTTTAATATAAACTTCTTCAAGAAAATCAACATCGGATACAACATACATTGGTGTTGTACCAGCATATAATCCATATATCGAACCATATTGTCTTGTCCATTCTTGTAATTTTTTTGAAAATGATTTTACTGACCAAAGATCTTTATAATGACCATAGAAGAAACGATATGGTGGTGCTGGAATACCATGATGTTTAAAATAATTATAAGAATTATTAATAATCCATAAATATGAAATAAATAAATATACGACACAAATAAAAAGAACAGTTGTAACCAACATATCACTCGAACGGGAATGTAAATAATGATAAATAATATCTATCGTTGCTTCACAAATGTATGATTGTGTTTCAAGTCATGCCTATTTTATATACCATAGAAATTGCACCTAATCACCTATAAAAATAATACTCTAGATAGATTACAGATGACTGTAGAATGACACAGTATACCTCGATGACTTACTTAAGAGACTGAAAAGTTAAATCATTTTCAACACTATATATACAGTAAGAAAGCACATGTAGAACATCACTATCTTTTCATTCATTCCATTCAGTAGATATCATGATCTACATATACTGAACACGTGATAAATGGCCTGATAAATATATCGGACGATAATTTTACATACGTTATTTGAAAACAATGAATTAAAACAGAATCCATTCTTTTCCGTCAATATTGCAAACAATATATTTATACGTATAAACTATATACAATTAAATCTTTCTATAAATAAAGTAGATTAGTAATTATTTCGATTGTTGTGTCTATTTTCTTCATACAAGTTTATTTTTAATATCTAGTTTTGTTTCGAATATACTTTTATTCTCATCCTTATATTCTATCTTCGAAATTATATATTAGTACAGAATCAATAGGTCAAATTATTGACTTTGATCATTTATTTTTGACAATTTTGTTTTGCGTAAAGACGTGAAATTAATTTTGAAAATTTAATAGAATTTTTTTTTAATAAAAAAAAAAGAAACGATATAACTAACTTAGATTAACACGTTGTTTGAAACCATCGTACTAGTCGTTCAAGGTAATACACAGGTACAACTGACATATGATGATTGGAAAAAATTGCTTATAAAACATGACAAACGAAAAAAAAACATATTTTATTTCTATATAACCCCTTACGTTGTGCATAATAAGCAAATGCATATTATTCAAAAGATAAACTCCAATATACTTTCATATAACAAATATGTTTATGTGACAACCAATAGCTAAATATAGTAGAATAAAATACAGCTAGTCATTATATTAAAACAATCCAATTAATATAATATAATGCCCTTTTGTTTTCTTTACCTTTATTATGCACATAAATGATTAATGTATCGAACGCTATTCATTCTTTTAATACGAAAAATATATGGGTATGATGAAGTAAATAAAGTATTCTGATAGATATCAAATCACCAATCTTAGAAAAAATGAATATAACAATATTGATCAAAAAAACAAAAAAATATTATGAATGAAAAGTACTATTAGAAAACTGAAAATAATGTAAAAGTATTGATATAAATGATAGAAACTTAATTCATCTTATATATTGATTTCTTCTCTGATAAAATTTTATGGATATAATTAAAATCTAATCAAATGAATACACAAAGAGCAACATAATATTTTCTCGATTAAAATGCACTACAGATGCAAACCTTTTAGGTTTTATCAATGTCTTCAATATGTATGCAAACTTATATATGAGAGTACAGTAAAACTTCTCGATAGTGAAATCTTCTGTTTTATGAACTGTTTCAGATCCGACGGAGCCATTTTTGCTGCAAATGAATCTCTTCTATATGAATAGCTCTTTATTCTGAACAGTGAACGCTTTTTTTCGATCTCGTTTGGTATTGTTGTTACCTCTCCAATGTAAAAAATGTACACGATGTTTTTTTGACCTCTTCCTCCTTTCTCTCACATGTTTTGATGAGCTACGTAATTCGAATTCGAATACAAATAAACATCCAACTGCATACTATTAATTCGAAAATAAATGCTCAAATTTAAGAACAGATTCAGTTTTAGTTTTACTCCAAGATGTATATGATTCATTTATACAACCAAGGGGCGAGTGAGGGGGATTTATCTGCAAATTATTCTAAAACTAAATCTACTCCTAGAAATATGTATTAGTTCTTTTTTTTTAATATCCGTTTATATTTGAACTCGAATTAAGCAGAAACTCAAATTAATAGACCTATATATTGATTCGAAAGCAATAAGACATACAACATTGGAAGATTTTTGTGGAAAAAAATAAGTTTTGTTTTTGTATTATAGTTTGAATTTTTTTTTTATTAAAATCGTTTAACTAATAAGAAATGAACAATAGAATAGATACTCGGGTGTTTCTGTACTATAATCCATGTAAAAATATTTAAAGAAAAATCAGATTATAATCGGTTAAAATATGATTAAAAATCGATTTAAATCATACACCTTTAATCGGTTTTTGACATTTTTAACCGGTTCTGATCGGATATAACCGAGAAAAACTCAACGTTTCTTGATTATTATGAAAAACTTCAATTAGAATCGATTAAGAATTCACAAAACATTGATTGTAATTGATGAAACCCGAACTATATTTTTCCATTTGTCATTGACAAAAATCAATTATAATCAATTTTTTTGTGAATTCTTAATCGATTTTAATTGAAGCTTTTCATAATAATCAAGAAACGCTGAGTTTTTCTCGGTTATATTCGATCAGAACCGGTTAAAAATGTCAAAAATCGATCAAAGGTGTATGATTTAAATCGATTTTTAATCCAATTTTAACCGATTATAATCATTTTTCAGTTGATTTTTACGTCAATAGTTTTTTTTACATGGGTAAGAAATGAACAATAGAATAGATACTGTGGTGTTTCTCTACTATAAAAGTATAAGCAAATATTCTAAGATTTCTTCCATTTCAAGCTGTATTATATATTAACTCTTTATAATGAACACCTCCGTATAATGAACACTATTTTCCGGTCCCAGTGGTGTTCATATTAGGAAGATTTTAGTGTATATCATTTATATACGAAAAAATGTTCGCACACGTTCTTTGTGAAGGATCACCATTGTGTATCGATTTGGTAATAAGAGTTACACATGTGTTAAAAGCTGGTTGATAGATAAGAGTAAACGAAAGAAAATGGTGAAATATACACCTTCAAATAATATCTATACCAATACTCAGTATACTATTGATATTCTTACATCTCCAATCCGAGAAAATCACATAAAAACAATTTGTTCTCCTTAGTTTTGATCATTAATTTACTGTATATTAAAATATGTTAGAAAACTAGTCTAAATTATAATTATAAGGATCTTAAAAATTCAATGAATATAAGATACCGTTCAGTTATAAAAATGTGTACTGTTGATAATATTCCGTAATTAAATATATAGAGAATAATAAAAAAAGCATTTGTATGTCTTCACTTTTTTAACTATTATTTTCTTTTCTTTATCTGTTTCGTTGCCAACGATTGAAATCTTCTAATATTTCATATATTTTCCGCGAACAAATCCAATCTCACAATATTTTAAATAGTAATGAATATTCTATTTGCCGTACTTTTTAAATTCTTCATAGATAAAAACATTTTATAACCTTCACGAATGCGAAGAAAAAGGAAGAAAAAAAAAGGACGCATTTTCTTCGTCGAAAGAAAAACGTGTGAATACAAGTAAACGAGCGAAGGAAGAACGAGAAAAAAAAATAATCTACCTCAATCACATTTACTTTATTTTTATGTTGGAAAAAATATAAAACAGTATGGCAACATCTACTGAAAAAAAGCAATCGCCAAAAAATGGTCTCGCTCTTGTTTGGCTTGATGATAATTCTGGACAAGATCCTGAAATAAAAACTATATTTCTTTCACTTTTTGAACAAGTATTTTTCTTTACCGATCCAACAGCATGTCTTGAATTAATTGAATCAGCTGAACCTGAACCACCATGTATATCAATTCTTATTTCAGGTAAATATGGTCACATGCTTGTTCCAACTCGTCTTCAACCATTAAATCAAGTTAAAGATATTTATGTTTATTGTATGGATATTGTTAGACATAATCAATGGGCACAGCAATGTGATAAAGTTCAATGTGTAGATTCAGATTTTCCTAAGATACTTAAACATATACAAAATGATATATTAAAACTTACGAAACAAAATCCACAACCAATGGAAGTTCAAAATGAACAAGAACAAGAACAACAGGAATATATTCCAAAGCCATTAGAACGTTTTAAAGATGATAATAATATATATGATCAACTTGCACTTAATCTTTTACTTCAAAATTCAGATGATAATAATGATGGAGTTGAAGATTTTGAAAATTATTGTCTAATACATGAAGAAGAAAATGATAAATTAAAAAATTTTAAACCAGATTTATCTATTAAAGAATGGTATAAACGAGATTTATCTACTATTCATTTAAATTCAACTGATATAATTCAATTATGGACACTTCGTTGGTTTATAAGATCATTCTATCGACAAATAACTGATGAATGTAATCGTTTTATAAAAGATACACCGAAATTTACTGCTAATTATGGTACATGGTTAACAACGGATGAACTCGACGGAATGAAACATCGTATCGGTGATATTATTATTTTTACTGAATTTCTTATAACACATGCTCATAGAGATGCAGCATTGAATTCAATAGTTGATAAGAAGGATGAAAAAACAAAATATAAAGTTATATTTGAAATAAATGTTGATGCGGAAACATCTCATATTGTTCCTTATTGTGAAATCGAAACTGATCAAGTATTATTTTGGTTTGGATCACGATATCGAATTATGAAAATTGAATTTATTGAACAAGAAGATCCATATTGGTTAATTGGTATGAATATATGTTCCACACTTAATAAAAATCAATCTATTCAAAATCTATATGAATATTATTTGAATGATTTAAATAAATTAAATAGTATTCATCATGGATTTGGTCGAATTTTAATGTATAAAAGTTTATATTATCAAGCAGAAAAATGGTTTGAAAATACGAATCATTATGAAGAATTAGCTGAATTAGCTATACGTCAAAATCATTGTGAACAAGCAAATCAATATCTTGAAAAATTACCTGAAGATTCTCATGATGCTAATTTATTACGTGCGTATGTTAATATATTAACATCAAATGATAATATTACAAAAGGACGCACAATATTAATGAAAATAATATCAGATGCAACTGATAAAATTGTACGTGCACGAGCAAATATTGCTCTTGGTTTTATTAGTTTAACTGTTACACAACAAATTGATCAAGCATTAGAACATTTTACATTAGGAAATGATACATTATGTAAAAATTTACCAGATATTCATCCTGATATTGCAAAATCATTTATTGGTATTGGTTATACATATTTTGTTAAACATGATATAAATCAAGCGGAAAAATCTTTTCAAACAGCTTTCGATATACAAAAACAATGTTTACCATATAAACATTATGATTTTGCTAGGACTCGAAATGGTCTTGGTCATTGTTTAGCAATTCAAAAACAAACAATGAAACAAGCATTACTAGAATTTGGACATGCAGTCAATATTTTAATTCGTACATTTCGTAAAGAATATAAAAAACATCCAGAAGTATTATTAACTCGAATTGATATTGAACGAGTACAAAAAGGAAAGGAATTAGGAGCACGAAATACAATATTAGATTATATTTAAATCTTATTATTATTATTAATAAAACATTCATTAATAGTAAAAATTCAATATGATTTTCTGTTGTATCAGCGATAAAATATTTAGATAATAAACTTTTATAAATAAAAAAATTGTTAATTCAGAAAGAAGAAGACTTTACATTTTTTGTAATATTCAAACTCATAATGTTTTGATTCTTTGACGGTTTCATACAAATCAGAACGACATTATTTTGTACATAGACTGATTAAACTGAATGAATACATCATTTTCCCAGCATGTTGATTATTTTATATCAGATTTATATATAATTAGAAAGTAAATTATTATATGTGAATAATATAGTAGATTTTGTAATGCACATATTTTTTTCATTATGGTATTCAATTACGACGATATAAAATTTCCTAAAATATCTATGAATATGAGAGGGGTAGAGGTGTAAATCGGTGGGTTAATTGGCTGCGGCGGGTTACACCTCTCGATAGGAGCTATTATAACCACTATTTAGATGAATGTGCAGATAAATTTTATATCTTGTGAACGAATTTCCATATTAGAATTAGAGTGAACAGAAAAACATTAAAATAGTTGAAAGATGCAGATATTGTATTTAATCGATTTTTGATAATCGAAATATTTATTTTGTAATTCAACTATCCAATTTCAAATAATCTATTCATATTTACTATCGAAAAGTAATATTCTCGAACACGATGTCATAAAATGTTACATGAGAGAGACAAGTGAAAAATATAAAACATCTCAGAATTAGTTCAATAGTCATTATTTAAAGTAAAAACGTTGTGGCCAAAACTTTCGATATAATCTAAGTATATGAAGAGATAAATTTTAGAATTGACAAAATTAAAAATGACATTGCGTATCGATCTTTTCACGTGCACATAATCGATGATATCTTATGTACCCATCGAATAAAGTTATAATCATATATTCATGACTATTTCAAATTTATTATATTTTCGTCTGTATATCGTTTACGAACAGTATATCCGTTCGTGACATTTTTGCACTTAAAGTGAAAAAAACTTTTTTTTTCTCTATTAAAATAAAACCATTTTGTCAGAAAATCAATTTTAAGACAAAATACGCAATTTCCAAGACAAGCATTAAATTACTCATATTCACCATTTATTATTGTATCGCAAAATTTAAGCAAGTATAAATACACTGTATCCGATATGCTTTAATATTTTAAACGACTATTTTGTTTTGAAATAACATCCGTGTATAATCGACCTTGAAATATGTTTATATACACAAAAAAAATCCATACTTATTGATAAAGAAAAATATCATTCTTTGACACTGTTAAATACATGGATGTTCAAATGTATAAAGCGCTCTATTTATTTATGTTTATATACAATTATTGTAATTATATATATGTGCTTTTTTATCAATAATGTATGTTAGTTACCGACCTCTATTACTTTTATATAATTCGCTCGAAGAATTGAACGAATAAGAATGAACTTCTGTGACCTAACTAATCAAGCTGCTGGATTTTATTTTCTTCTGGAGGTATTGTGTCGCCACTCGTTTGTATTACCGTAGATACATAAGCATAAGCATATTCATATGCGTGACGAATCGTACTAATTATCATTTTGTTTATTAGTAGAAAAAATACAACAAACGTTGACTTTATTTTTTTCTTCTTATCATTCTTTTTCGTTTTGTTGTTCTTTTCTACAGAAAAATATTTTTTATTTACGTTTTCTTTTCCTATTTATCATGACGATTTTGTTTTTAGTTTAAAAATAGCTGTGATTAGATAATAATGAACAATAAATAAACATGTCTGGACAATCCCCATATATGCAAGCAGCTCAATATGGTTATCCGAGTAATTTTCAACAAGTAAAAAACATTGTTTTAAAAAGGAAATATTTCATTGAAAAAAAAAATGTTTATTTCTAGCGTGATACTCATTATAATACTAATTCAAATGTTGATACAGCTATGGTATTAAATCGTCGACCATCATTACTTGCTGGTTATCATCATAATCATTTTACTAGTCCAGAAAGGTTTTTATTTTACAATAGAATTTAAATAATAAATTATGAGTTTATTTTTTTTTTAGAAATTCATTAGCTCCATATGTATTTTCATTAGCCACACCAATGTCAATGGGACCACATATTGATGAACATTCAAAACGATCACGTTATCCATCGACAATACCATTATCAATTGATATTAAAAAAGTTTAATATAATTTTAATAAACAATTGATAAAATGTGTTTTTTTTCTCAATTTTAGGAACAACCATTATATCAACCACAAACAGAAGCTATTTCACCAATACTTGATGAATCAAAAATGGATTCAAATATAAGAGATACAACAATTATACGTACTTCAATATCAAAACTTGAATCAGATATTGAAATAACAATGAAAAAACTTCATCGAGCAAAACTTAGTCAAGTAGAATTACAAAAATGTACTTTTTTTCGATTTAAATTTGTTTCTTTTGTTTTTATTATTAAAGAGTGAAATTAAAAGTCAAGCAGATCGATCAGCTGCTGATGAAGAAGAAACTGATGATCAAGATGATATATTTAAAACGAATGGTTCACAAACACTTATCGAAAAAATTCTTCATGATAATAGAGTAAGATTTATAAACATACAAAACTCAAGTGTGTTAATTGCGTGTTTTATTCAGTATCATTTTTACGTTCTTTCTTTCTTTTCTCGGAGATAAAGAGATATGAAAAAGTACGTAGGTAAAAAAAACAGTCATGTTAAACGCTTGAAATATTAATAATGTCGCTATAGGTTAGTTGAGAAGTTCAGAGAAATGTATTATATGTCAATGAGTAAAAGTATATTAATAATTGAAGATAAGCCTATCATTTATTATTCTTAAATATTGATTCATATATGAACATTATTCAAGTTGAATATATGATTTATTACATTTAATTTTGAAGAATTTATTCCCAATATTAAAATTCTGTTTTGTTGGAAAAAGAAAAGAAAATATGTGAATTCAATTTTATTTTTTATAAATATTTGCACGTACGTCTGTGACCTTGACCTAGACTTATTATACTTTCTATTTATATAAAATAAATAAAAAAAATTTTAATTTATTTATTCCTCTTATTGACTCGAAGCTTAATAAAAGAATAGAATGTTAGATTAACCTTTAGTCATAAGAAAATATATTAAGGATAGTTTCTTGCATCCTCACTGGCAATGTAATATATTATTTATTATATGAAAAAAAAACGAAATGAGTAATTTATTTCAATATGACAAATTAATCGATCAGTAGTTTTATTGATTATGATGATTTGTTCGGTCACTGTAAACTTTTTCTAACAAGTTGTTTGTATAATGAATTATTGATCTGTTTAGAAAAAAGCTGAAGATGGTCAAAAAGTTCTAAATCAGTTACATAATAATATTGATTTAACACTTCCACTCTATCAAGAACCAAGTGATCTTGAACCAATCGAAAAAATTCGAACACAGTATATAGAAAATGATATCTATTATTGAAATGCGAATTATTAACTTTTTTTCATTTAGATATATGAATGTAATGAAAAATCGTTTAATAAATTTATTTAAAAAAAGTCGTGAACGTTATATGTGTCGAACAAAATTTGAAAGTGAAAAATATGATCAAGCTTATGAACAATGGCAAAAATCCATTGAAAAAGATGAAAAATCAATTTTAGCTAAGGATATATCAGCATATCGTGAAACATTTGAAAAAACATTTCCAGAATTACGTAAAGCACGTGAAGATAAAGAAAAAAAACAAACAACAACTACAACTGATCCATCATCATCATCAGCATTACCATCTACAACTGATCAACAAACACAATTAACTTCAAATACAAATCCAGTTGAACAAGAAAATGACGAAGAAGAAGATGAAAAAATGCGTAGATCATCAGTCATACCACCAATAATGTATGATAGTTGGCAACGTAAACATCAATATTTTAATCAAAATGGTTTAATTAAAACTGATGCGGCTGCATTTTATAAAGAACAGATAAAAATGCCATGTTGGACACGAGAAGAAAAACAAATTTTTGTTGAAAAATTTACTCAATCACCTAAAAATTTTGGTTATATATCATCATTTCTTGAAAATAAAACAACTGAACAATGTGTACAGTTTTATTATATGACAAAGAAAACTGAAAATTATAAAAATTTATTACGAAAACAAACACAAGCTAATAAACGTCGTGCTAAACAAAATCCAACAACGACAACAACAACTACAGTTACATCATCAACAACTATTGAAACAACTTTAGTGACAAAAGTTACTTCAAATACAATTGTTTCATCAACATCTCAACAAATTCTTGGAATAGGACAAGTTTGTTTTATTATTTCGTGTATATATATATATATATTTTTCAATATTATTTATAGGATAATGAACGTTCAATTGATCGAATAGAAAAGTAAGTTTGTTTATCACAGTCTGTTCGATATAATCATAGAATTTTGTAATTTATCATTTTTATTGACATATTAAGTAAGATGCATATTGAGTATTTGTTACATGAGATTATCAAATGGAGACCATTCATTAAGGGTGGACTAAGTTTCTGTGTTCTGTATGATTATTAGAAAATCATATTTCAAGATGGCAATCGTTTTTCTATCGTCAAGATACATGTTTCATAAGCTTTGTAAAAATTTAGTTGAAAGGAAACTATCCTGATTAAAGCGTCTCTATCCGAGAAATTTGAGATAAAAGTTTAGACTTTTTCAAATGAGTGTACTTTAATTATCAAATATACATTACTACATAAGATTGAGTAGGAGTAGGGTTCCAGTTTATGAATGAATTACTCTGGTGCATATCAACATATATCATTTTTAAACATTTTGTGTGTTTATGATAATATTTTAATTTATAAAGCTCGGAAGTAATGACGTATCCAGTATTTTGGCAGTGGTTGAGCGATGGTGGGCAATATCTGTGGGGTAGGAGGGCGCCGAGGAAAGTTTGTCTTACATAACTACAATCAGTGGTTGGGCGAAGCCCACCTATAGTTGACTCTGGTTACGCCACTACTTGGAAGAGATCGAAATTAACATACCTATTATATACGAGTTTTTGTAGATAGTCAATGCATTAGTGTCATTTCGGTTTAGGAAAAAATAATTCTGTTCTCGACAACTGAGCGATTAGTACACTTCCTTTCAAACTGACTACCTGTGATCGATTATGAAACTACGCATATATTGGAAATCTATCTTTTAACATTATTGAGTAAGTTTAGAGACATAGGAAAGAACATATTCATATAGATTTGACTTTCTTTCTTGCAGATGTTCTTTATGAATGATTCCAAACTTAGTTTTTATAAATATTGACTTTTAGGATTAGGTATCACATTTTATTATCGCTTTGATATGATTACAAACGAGCACTTATCGTACTCTTTCTAGTAATAAAAATATCTTATCTACTTTTAAATTTCTATAAATAATTGTTTAAATAAATATCATTTTTTTTCTTTTAGCGATGAAGAACGACGTGATATAAGTATGTAGAAAATTTTAATCCTATTTTCCAATAAAATATTATTTTCTTAGATTCCGGTGATATTAATGATGGAAAAAATTCAAATAAAAAGTATGTTCATGATTTTTTTTATCTTTTAAATTATCTTTTTTTTCCTTCATATTTAGTCGATGTCAGTTATTATCTTGTACAGCTGACAAACCTGGTAAAAAGAAAAATCGTAAAAATCCTTTACGTCAATTTCCACACAAATGGAATGAATTATCTAAAGAACATCGAGAAGAAATTCGTCGTTTATTACGTAAATATTTCTTTGAATAACACTAGACAAAAAACTAAATACGTCAATGCATGATTTTTATTTTTAGAAATTCCACCTGATGTTCAACGTTGTTGTAAACGTTGTTATGAAAAAGTAGTTGTTCAAGTACGACAACGACATGCAAATCAATCCGTAGAAGATGATGATGATGAATCAACGATAACGGGAAATCAAAATTCTAAACATGATGATGGTAATATTTTATTTCTATATCAAAACTTTCATGTCTTATATAATTTTAGAAGAATGGAATGAAACAGAAATTGATGCATTTACCCGAGCACTCGATAAATTTAACCATGATTGGACTCAAATTGCTGAATATGTTCATCGTAGTGAAGAAAGTTGCCGAGCTTTTTATGTAAAACAACAACGTAAAAATATTTCACCTATGGATGATCCTGTAAGAAATTTAATTGATAATAAAAGTAAATTTGCAAATTTTTCTTTTTTCAAAATAGAATAATGATGAAGATAATGGTAGTGTATCTGGTTCAGAAGTTGGTCAAACAAAACAACCTCATGATGATAATGTGTTAAAAACAATTAATGAAGATAGTAATGATTCAACTCAAGGAATGGTTATTGATGAAGGTGAAGAACAAACATTAACAAATGATGAAAAACCTACAAAATCAATTCCATCAACAACGAATTTTTCAACAATAACATCACTTGTAGAAAAGGAAATATCTAAAACATTAAATGAAACAGAAAAACGTTTATCAAATAATATGAATTCTTCACCAGAGAGACCGATTAATAACATTAACAACAATACTAATCATAATAATTCTTCTACTCAAGCACCTCCACCACCACCACCACCATCACTACCTCCACCGCCACCGCCATTAGTTACTGTTAATAAACCTCAATCACCAGGAACACATTATCAATATCCACCTCATTCGCAACAAAAATTTTTACCGCAAGGTTCAATTATGCGTGGAACACCGATATCATCATCAACACCAACAAGTAAACCAATTGCAATTGATATATCACCAACACATTCTCATCATTATAATAATCCAAGAAGTGAATATGCACATCATAAATCACCGAAGATTTTAGATCGAAATATCGAACAACATCATTTACTTCAACAACAACAACAACAACAACAACAGCAGCAGCAGCAGCAACAACATGCTGCTTACGTGCGCTATTGTAATCAACAAAAGCAGCAATATATACAGCAGCATCAGCAGCAACAACAGCAACAACAACATAAGACTTCAACTAAAATAGAACCAAGTTCAGATACATTCGAAACATTAAGGGCTGATTATTTAACTTCAAAATATCTTACACCTACAACACATTCACCAAGTCATGAACGGTACAATCTTTCTTTTGATATATATATACTATGAAATATAAACTACAGTATACTAGTAGAACATGTTCAGTTCGAGGATAACGATAAAACTATTAGTCAAAAAATATATAAAAAAAATTGATAAAACTCATTTTCTTGAGATATCTCGTCTAATAATAAAATACAATTTGCTTTTGACTATTTTTACTTATTCATATCAAACCGTAGTAATTCAGTTCAATTCGAAGAACAAAATCAATCTGATCCTTTTTCTTAAACATTCTAAGTAGTTAAATTTTCAATTATAGTCAACATCGTTCTGGCCCTGATCAACGTTCTCCATCTCAGCCATCTCCTTCAATCAATCAACCATTACTTCCTCCACCTGCAACAATTGGTCCTCCAAATGTATCTTCGTCTATTCAACAATCGCCACATTCGCATCATTCTCAACAAGCCGCTTTTCTAGCTGCTTCACAATTGCTTGCTTCGTCAGGTCTGTACTCACCAGAATTAATTCAAACTGGTCTCTCGCCATACGCACCTTATTACGGTTCACTACCAGCGAATTCACCATTCATGTTTGATTCACGCCTTATGCAAGAATATGCTGCTGCTGCTAGTGCAGCTAACAACGAACAATTAAAAGGTACATCAAAAATCTAATAATAAACAATGAAATTCTATCTGTTGAGTTTTCTTTTGTTTAGCAGAACATCATAAAGCAGCTATGCGTTATAAGATGGCTCATCATCATCAACCATCTTCTATGCCTAGTCATTCTCCGCCAGATCCATCCTATCCTACTCATGCAACAAAACGACATTCACATGATTTAGGTTATCCTACAGATGATTATCCAGCATCGATTTGGCGTACACAAAATATGAGTAATCCTCAACAAATGCATCCGCATATGCAACATAATCCTGGAGCAAATGAAAATCCATTAATAAAACTTAATGAGTTATCTCGACATTCATCAACCCGTGCAACGGAAAGAAATAGTCGGTGAGAATAGGTTATAGTCATTGTATTCTTCATTTTATCGTCTATATTTGTGATGAGAAAGAAAAGCACATTGTGTACTTTCTAAAAGGTCATTTTGACCTCATATCTATGTCATAACTAAAAAGAGATTTTATTTATTGATTGAAATAATTTAACCTTGATTTTAATTAGATCTCCAGATGATTATCATCATCGTGTAAATCCATCACGAAATACTGTCGAAAGTCCATCAATTCATTTTCAACGTGTTGAAGCACATAATCATCATGTATGTTTAGAATTATCGATTATAAAACTTTAATATTTAATTTCTTTTCTTTTCTTATTATTATTAGAAATCATCTCCGGATAAATTAAATCCAAATTTACATTATACTGATCATTCATCGGATGGAAATCCAATGAATTATATGAGACAACCACCAAATGTTCATAAACCTCACACAAGTCATCATTCACCTCATCGTCATCATCATCATCAACAACAACAACAACAACAACATCATCAACATCATCCTCATCATAATACACCTTCATCGAATCGAGCATTAGCTCCACCATTACAAAATTCACAAATTTCACCTCATCATGCTGCTTATTTAATGCATAATCATCATCATCCACCTATGGATACTGTATCACCTCAACGACAACAGCAACAATCACCTCATCAACATCATCCATCACATTATCCACAACAACAGCAACAACAACAGCCGCAGCAGCAGCAGCAGCAACAACCACAACAAAGAACATCACATCATAATGAACCAATAAAAAATGCCAAAGAATCCATGTCTATTCAAGAATTTATGAACAAAAATGTGAATGAGTTTGTCAGCTCAACAAGTAAGATTAATAGGATATAAAATCTGCGTTCTTTTTATTTTTTTTTCCATTCCTTCTATTCTGAAGTTGTCATGACCTATTTAATAGAAAAATATAAAAATAGCTACTTTTGATTAAACAAGTATTTGTTTTTTTTTAGTATAGAGATAGTTTATTTGATTACAAAACAAAACAAAACATGCGTACTTTCAACTTACTAAATCATTTCTTTTTATACTAATAAATAAAGTTATATTTGCTTAGAGTATCCTTAGGGGGTTTAATATAATATCTTATAGTCTCTACTGCTCTCTTTCTTTCTTTTCTTCGATAAAATATAAATAATCGGTCGACATTCATTTGCATTTTATCATATCGTGTCTCATTACTTTTATTTCTATTGTATTCCTTAACGATTATTTTTATACTATGCTGTGCATATAATTATAATATCATAAACACATTTATATTTAGACAAACGTTAAATATTTTAATTTGTGAGACTTTTAGTTATGGTCATGATGTCTTCTTTATGACTGTCAGCGTTCAGAATTTTTCTTTTCTAATTTCCTTTAATTTATCGTTAAAATTAATAACGTAGAAAGTGACTATATCATGTCGAGTCATAGTATTCTATAATAGGAGATTGCTGTGTAGATATTTCTCTTCTATTGACAAGTCACATAACCCTTTACGATAGAGAAAAGGAAGTTATAAGTCATAATGACCTTGTTTTTATTACCTTATATAAGTCACTTACTTTTTCTCATTAAGAAACAGAAAAAAAATCTTTTTTTTTTAAATATATTTAGATAATGATAATAAAATTGCTAACACAGACTCATCATTACATGAACAACCTTCTAATAATCAATTAACACGTACTGCACAAACCAATGTAAATAGAATATTTATATTTTTGTATTTTTATAAATAAATTTTTGGAAATTTTTAGAATTCTGATCAACCAATTTTACTTGATGGTGATGATGATTCGAATCCAAATGAACAATCAGATTTAATGAATAAATCAAATACAGAAAGTGAAATGCCAGAAAAACGTCGTGATAGTTCTATAAAAAAGATTCTCTCTAATCAACCATTAGAAAAAGCGGAATATATAGGTAAGAATTATAATAAAATCGATACCTATCAATTAGATAATTTTCTTTTTATTAGAAATTAATCAAAAAGTCCAAAACAGCGCTGCTGGAACATCGAAAGGACATTCAAATAACAATGAGCAAGCTGCTCTTGAAAGATCGAATAGTACAAATACACGTAAATCTATTTTGCTAGAAAAAAATAGAGATGTAAAATATTTCATTGATTTCAGGTACAAGGTCACGTGGTTCAATTACAATGCGTATGTTAATGGGCTCAAGTGATATTTATGCTGATGGTAAAGCTCAACCAATGGCAACAAATGGTTAGAATAGATATTTACTTTAAAAATACTAAATTTATTTTGTATTTAAATTAGATGAACAATCAAATAAACGTCCAGCATCTCCAAATGAGAAATGTGAAAAAATTGAATATTTAATTCGTGGTGAACTTGATCGAAAATGTCCACCATTAGTTAAACCTGATGGTAAATATATATATACAAATCATCGAAATATGAAATTCGATAGGATTATTGAAACAATACAATGATTAGTCTTGCATTGTAGATGTTTTTCAGTTGCTTAGTGATAACCTTTCTACAGGAGACTAGAGTAAGGACTTAGAATAAAAATTTATACTTATACAAAAACAAATTGACATATAAAACAGAAGACTATTCAGAAAGAACAGGTACATACAGTCCAATCTAAGCTTCACAAAAGCAGCTATAGAAAATATGTGCAACGTGACCTGATTAAACTACTTCGATAATTACCTGTAGTCGCGAACGTTTAAAATTTACACTAAAGAAAGAGAAACAAATAATTCTGATGCATATGGAGTTAAAATATTTATAGAAAATGGTAGTATAAATAATAGAACAATGAATACATAATTACCAGAAGGAGAAAATAAGTTTATTAAGAATTATAAATAGCTTGACTTAAGAAAAGAAGCAGTCAACCATATGATTCTTCTTTTGTAGAACCAGCAAATATATTTCAAAAATCATCACCAAATCAATCTCAACCGAATTCATCCAAACGTTTACGGTATAGAATAAAATTCAATATTTATATTTATAAATAATTTCTCATTTTATTTATAGCACATCACCAAATGACGAAGAACAACATTATCCATCTTTTCCTACACCACAGGACTCAACAACAACACCAAATGTACGTGATCCGTTTGCTTTACAACCGCAATCAAAAACTCCACATCATCAATCAGCAGCATCAACAAATGCTGAGAAAAATTGGCAATCATATGTTCAACAACAACAATATCATTTAACAAACTCACATGCATTACCACTTGCGTCTCGAACATCACGTCCAACAGGTTCAATCACACAAGGTAGTCCTATATCACCATCATTACGTTTAACACCTGATCAACAACAATATTCATCAGCAACAAATAATCAACTTGTTAATCCACGTTATAATATTAATAAAAGTAATTAGTTTTTATTTTACATATATAGTATTTTATTTGATTTTTTTTCTTAATAAAGAAGATGAACAGCAATCTTCACCATCGAGACAGTCATCAACATCACCACATGATCATTCACCTAAAGCTAAAATTCCTCGTACATTAAATCAGGTAATATTTTAAGAGTGATAATATCTTTTGTTGAGCAAAACATTCAAATTCACATTAGCGAATTTAATAATTTAGTATATACATATAGAAAGATACAGAACTAGATATAATCTCGAATTTGTAACTACCTAACCGAAAGTCATACTGTAGGATTTTTAAAAAGACTCAAACGTTACATGAAAAAGGTGTTCGTGCACCCGCCTTGGCCAAAACATATCTGAAGGGAGTTACCGGTAAAGAACCTAGCCACAAGACAAAAAACGCGGGTGTGCCCTCTTCTCATTCAAAATTCTTGGGTACGCCTCTGGTTATAATTATCATTTAGAACGTATTTTTTAGTAGACAGAACTAATAATTCATTAAATATTTAATTTAGTTTGATATAAAATTATCTATTATAAGTATTGTATTTCAATTTAGAGTCTTTCCTCATCATCTGATACTCAAAATGAATCATCATTATCAATAAGTGGTGATCAATTATCAAGTATAAAAAGTCCTGTTAATAATTCAGTACCAACTAATTCTAATCCAAGTAATACTCCACCAATGGCTTCATCACCAACAGCATCAAATTCATCCAGTAGTGCACATCCATTAAAAAAACGTTTAATTAGTGAATATGAACTTGAACAACAACGAAACTCACCTGTTGTAACTACAGAAGAAATATCAAATACTTCAGAATTGGATATTCCAAAAGATGATAAAGAAGATGTTTCTACTGCTACAATACCTGCTGATGAACCAGTAGTTTCTGAACCGATAGAAGAACCTGAAAAATCAACGTGATTACTTTTGTTTTGTTTTGTTTTTTCTTTAAGTATTTTTTGCTCAATCCAGCCGGTCGTTGTTGTTGATTTATATTTAGCATAGAAACAGTGAACAAAAAGACGTAAAATATTTAAATAAAAAAAAAGAAGAAGAAGGAAACTTTATGTTTGTTCTTTTACAAATTCAACGTCTCTTATATACGTAACGATTCTATTTAAAAGCACAAATATGTGTTTTTTTTATATGTGTATATAAATATATATATCAAAATGTTTATTCTCCTATTCTTGATATGTATGTATGTATGTGTATGAGTTTTTTTTTCTAAAATAAAAAAACGACTTTACTTTTTGTTGTTATTATATTGTCGAGTTATTCTCTCTCTCTTTGTTTTTTCTTTCCCATTTGCTCATTTTTAGTAGAGTTGATATGTATAAAATCTGAACACATACATACAGACATTTTTCTTTTTGTTGTTATGATTTTCTTTTCTCTCTTGTTTTTTCATGGCTTGTTGTTCTTAAAAAAAACACGTTTTTTTCTTTTTTTCTTCAACTTCTTCTTCTTCTTCTGTATTGTTTGTCTATTCAACATTTAAATAAAAGAAATTTTCGTATTTTAACTGACAACTTAATATAGATTTAATTAATGATAGATGCGTCTTTAAAATCAACACTATTAGTTTACATACGATATACCTCCTGATAAATGAACAGAGTAGAGATCAGTTGAATATTTTTTTTTGTCGTCCAAACGATTAAAATATTTTCCAGATTTCTACAGACAAATGCATTATTTAGCTTGTTTTATTTTAAACTAACATATGAAAACCATGAAGAGAAAAAGCCTGATTAACCCTTTAAGTACCAACGGAGCCTATAAGCCTCACTCTTTTAGAATTTGACAAATCCTTAATAATTTGCGAATGCGAAACAATATCGAAGTGTACTTGTCATTTTGGCATGGAGATCATATAGGTGCTTGTATTAGTGCTGAATTTATCATTTTAATAATCCTTTAAGTACCAGCGTGTCGTAGGGGAGTACGGGTATTGATCGAAAATGACTTCGAAAGTTTTTTAAAAAGTTTCAATGAAAATATTCACAGCATACAATAAACATGTTAGAAATAAAGTCCTAACAAAGTTTCATCCATTGGCTGAGCCATGGTACTTAAAGGGCTAATACACCTTCAAATTATGAGAGATACATTTAACTTCTTCACTGCTAGAGATATTGATAATTGATCTGTATGTATACGGTGATAAAAATATTTGAATTGCTCTCAACAGTTTACATTGCATGATAACATATATTATTAATACAATATTATGAAATTTTCTTAGATCAATTGTTTGTACAATAAAGAAAAATCCTGAATTTTTTTATCTATTTTTTATGTTGTATTGATAACCATATTCTAGCATTAATACTATTATGAGAATAACAACCGCTACTAAACAGAACTGGTAAAATTATTCTGACCATCGACAGATACTCTATCACCCACATAAGAAACGTAGGATGGAATGATAAATCGTCGTTATCCTTTTCTTATTTTTGTTCTTTTCTTCTATGTATATATATATGTGCTCATCTCCTTCGCAAATATTGGTCGAGTATTACTCGTCGCTCGATATAGAACAGTAGTGTTCTTTTAGAATAAATCCGTCGATATATATATATATACATATTACTCGGTTGCGGGATGCGAGAAATATTTCTCTTGATATTTTTTTTGTATATCCTATATGGGTTATCCAGAAGAAAAGAGAAAAAAAAGAGATCTGATTGCATCTTTTCTTGTATGTATAAGGGTAGAAAATAACTACATTTATATTCTTTTATCTGCGTATACCAACCATTCTTTTCTCGTCTCAACAGTAGAACTTTGACGCTAGTAAGTCGATACAAAACATATCGTATTTTATCTAAAAAAACATATATATATATATATTTCGTTCAGTGGCAAGTGGTTCAGCATTTAGTAATGTACTTAAAGCAAAGGAAGATTTACAAAAATCTCCTGAACAATTAGAACAAGAAAAACGTTCGATTATCGCTCAACGTGTACCATCATTAAACATTGATGGCAAATCGAAAGAAGCTCTTGTCGAACAGGTTTTATTGAAACGATCTATTTTATTACTGATGTTCTTGCTTTTCTTTCTATTAATTAAAAAATAATAGGCAAAACAATTACATAATCTTCTTCATCAATTACATGGTTCAATCTATGAATTAACTGAACGTTTCGAACGACAAAAATATGATGTAAATTATTAAATATGATTTTCAAAATAATGATCTTAAAAATAAAAATTATTTATTTAGATGGTTGAATTAACTGAACGTGCTCGTCAAATCGAGAAAGGGTAAATATATTTTTTTTATTTAGTTATTATTTTTAATTTTATTTAATTTCTAGAAAAGCTAAAACACGTAAATCAAATATTGTTCACACTGGTCTTGGTGGTGGAATGTACGTATTACGAAATTTTATCATACAAAACAAAAGAATACTTTTATCATTTTAGATTTACTGGTGTTAATGATATTACAGCAAAAGCACCGGTTTGTAATACAGAAAAAATATTTTCTTTTTGTTTGTATATATATATCTAATATTTGTTTTAGCAAAAAGTATCACTTTTTAGTCGTTACGAACGTGGTAAGTTATCCTTGTTTATTTTCTTTATAATGATACAATAATAAATTCTTCTTAGTTACCGATCGTCGTACATATAAGGATCGTCGTGATGTATGGAGTTCAGAAAAGAAAAAATCAGACTTTGTTGCTGAACGTCCAAAAGCTAAAATACGACATAATACACCACCACCTGAAGAAAATCCATTTCATAAAAATAAAGCTGGTGGTGCTACTCAAGCTTCTAAATCGGATGATAATCGTCAACAAAAGCATCATGAAGAGGAAGAAGAAGAATTAGTATGTTTTAAAAACGAATTTATATGATATAAATTTCTGTCTTCTTTCTAGACCGCTCCACCTCCTGAAGAAGAAGAAGCCCCAGCTGAAGAAGCACCTGCTGAAGAAGAACCAGCAGCTGAAGAAGAGGAAGAAGAAGAAGAATAAATTAATAGATCAAATTAACAGTCATACCTTCTTTGCATTTTAACCCGTTTTTTTCATATTACCTTATTATTTTAAAATTTTTATTTGAATTATCTAATAAATAAATACAAGATCAGTTTATTCTTCAACAGACATATCTTCATGAACTTTTTCATGTTCAAATGTTTCATTTTTACGTAAAAATTTATAATTTGTTGATGCAAATGTTGATTTCGGTTTTGTTTCATGTTTACACCAATTATTTATTAACGCATAGACAAAATAATATGTACTTATTAAACATGGTAAAGAAAAATAAAGAATTTTCATTGGTAAAGTCCAAAATGTATATAATGTATTTATTCCAATATGAATTTGTCGACATATTCGATGTTCATGATCATTATCATCATCATCATCATCATCATTCGATAAAATACATAAACGTATTGTTGATGATTGATTAATACTAAATTTAAATTTTGATGTATATAATTCTACCATTGATTTAAAATTTTCCTGTCCAATTTTATATTTACCAACAACAAGAATAGCTAATGGAGTTATTTTATAATAAGCCGTTAGATTTTTTAAACTACATGTTAAATTATAAGTCCCTATAAATTCAATAGGAAAATCTGTTTGAATTTTATTTGATTGATAGATTGTTTGAATTTGAAATGTTAATGAACAATTGGATTTATTAATAGATGGAATCTCACAAATATTTAAATTAAACTGAATAATAAATAAAAGCAAAAGACAAAACGTACGCAACATATTCATTGAACGTTGTGAAGAAGAAGAAAAAAAGAAGCTATCATGCGTATCATAATGTCATATGAAATCGATCAAGTTACATGAGCTATTGTTTTATATAAAGGACTTTTTTTGATTCGAATCACTGAGACATACAGAGATCAACACAATTATTATCATATTTCATATAAATAGATATATTATGCTATAAATATGTATATAAATTACACGTCATTATTATAAAATAATGTGATATAATTATTTTTGTCTTATATTCGTTTATAACTGTTAAATAAAGTTTATATCGATATTAAAATGTATTCCGATGTTTTAATTGAATTTAGTTTACCTAAATCTGGTCAATAAATAATGACATCTGTTGAAAATTACTGCAACCATTCGACAGTATATTGGTATATACTGGATTATAGATTCAGAAGTACATTTTAATACTCTTTTGCATCATTTAAATATCTTACATGGCATTGTTACGTTATACACTTCCATTATCTCGATGTACTCTTCCATTTGTTAGTTCAAATCGAGGAGCTGCAACAGCAACAGCATCTGCTATTGAACATACAACAAATCCACCAATACAGAATAAACAAGAACAAAATACTTTAACAAATGTATCACCATATAAAAATGTTCCAGGAAAACATTACGGTGATAGTAACGTTGAAGTAGCATTAGCTCGTTTAGATGATGTACAAAATTTAATACGGCGTGGTTCAATATGGCCGCTTACATTTGGTCTTGCATGTTGTGCTGTTGAAATGATGCACATGGCAGCACCACGGTAAATTATTTCAATTTATTATATGATTATATATTTATATTTGAAATAATATTAGTTATGATATGGATCGATTTGGTGTTGTCTTTCGTGCTAGTCCACGTCAAGCTGATTTAATGATTGTTGCTGGTACACTTACGAATAAAATGGCTCCAGGTAAAAAAGAAATAACTATTGTCATTTTAGTTTATATTTTTTTTTTCTTAGCTATTCGACGTTTATACGAACAGATGCCACATCCAAAATGGGTTATTTCTATGGGTTCATGTGCGAATGGTGGTGGTTATTATCATTATTCATATGCAGTCGTAAGTTCAGAAGATTCTTTTATGTTTTTTTAAAGAAAAAATATTTTATTGATAGGTACGTGGATGTGACCGTATAATACCAGTTGATATTTATGTACCTGGTTGTCCACCAAGTGCTGAAGCATTACTCTATGGAGTTTTACAATTACAACGAAAGATTAAACGATATGATACATTACAAAAATGGTATCGAAAATAAATAAACTAAATAATAGCTTTATCCGTCTTTGTCTTATTTTTTTCTGTTTCCTGTCAGCATTATTTTCTTTTGCAATTTTGAAAGAATGAATGTAAATAGAAGTATATGTATTTACTTGTAGTTTTAAGTCATTATATTATTAATACGTTCAGCTCAAAGAGACAAATCAATATCTAAGAAATATATTTAAATAGCATCATATACAACGATAAGTGAGTTGTATTTCAACATATATGAACTAATGAGATACAGTGGCAATGTTTGAGTTAAGTAATACGATCATTTATGATGGTTATAAACTTCATCGTGGAATTAATACATATGTCTGATAAAACACATGTCAAGGAATTTCAACGTTCTTCATCTGATATATAACATTTTACAAATAATATTAGCGATTTTCTATGAACAAAAGTAATATTACATCAAATAATGAATATTCTTTATTGAAAATGTATTTTTTTTTCAAGATATGCTACATTGATATGATAATTTCTAGAATGACATTAAATGTCTATTTAGTATTTCATTTTATTGTGAGATGATATTAATGACTCGCATATAATATATCGAATCTAATTTAAATAAATAAATGAATGAATTGAATAATAGTAGTTTACAATGGTGTGTACTATTTAATTTTATCATTATAACGTTTTGTAAAAGATCAAGGTTATGTTCATTGATTTTATATACACTATTTGTATTTATCAATATTTTGAAGTTATCCGTAAAAATGCAGATTCGTATTTTTTAATAATATTTCTATTTTTCTACCTAGACTTTTTTTCCCTCCGTCAGAGTTGATAATGATATGTCAGTAATTTTGAAATAATGTACTTTTTTGATAAGAATAACAACAAACGTAACAATAGCGTAGACAGTATTTTATTAAACTACAAATAATCATCATAAATATCACAAGACGTTATCCGTTTACAAAAAAAACATAATATCACATGGGTCTTTGTCTTACTCATACTCATTCTTTTTACATGTCGTATGAGTTAGGTAGAGAAAAAAAATATACTCTTTACACATAAAAGGTATAGTTATGCTATCGAAGACTCCTTGTGTGCGGTAACACGATAATAACAAATGATAACGGAATGGAGGCCACAACACTTTCTTTTTTTTGAATTTTCTATGCTTGTTGTTGTTTCATTTGATAGATATACTTAATTTAGTTGCACAGAACGTACCTAACGATAGTAAGTATTGAAAAAAAAGTGTTTGCTATTAAAATGCGTACAGTTTCTTTTTATATAGTTGTTTTCATTTTTTATTTTTATATGACATCAATTTGACATCGAACTCTCATATGTATATATATATATATATAAACTTATGCATTCGATCTTCTTTGATAAAAAGTAGTCGTTCTCAATAATTTCCTACTGTTTATTGCACGTTGATGATATATTTTGTAGTTATATTTATTGACGATTATTTTATTACTTAGATACCTCTTATAAATGGACAAAAGAAGAGAGGGAAAGAAAAAATAAGTGGATATTGTCAATCGAGTTACATTAATGAATACGTACATTGAAAAATACAAAGGATATTATTTAGTGTATTATTTGAAATGTCACATACAGCGATAGAAAAAAAGTTGATGGTGCGCCGGTATACGTTTTGTTCGTTAGAAGCTAAATATAGATGGATGAATACATCAATACATAAGCCACGTATTTGCTTCTACGACGTTGTCAAATCAGTTTTAATTGAGAAATATTTTTTACGAGAAGAGTAAAAAAAAGAAGAAGGAGACTGATGTTATAAAACTGTTTGTGGTATTTTTTCTGTTCTTTTATCAATCACTTGTTAAAAATCTAGAGAGAGAGAGAGAGACAGTGAGATATATATATATAAATATTGAAGAGATGTGAGTATATTAAACAATATTTTATCTTTGATTGATCCTGAAAATGATTCTATAGATAAGATAAATTACATTTAGAATATTAACAATAGATATTTGTTATAGAATTAAGTATAAAAAAGTAAATGATATGTTAAGATAATTTTGTTTTTTATTAATCTCCTCCTGCTTTTTATCTTTCCATCTCTCCTATAACGTAATAAATAACTTGCAGTTTTCTTAATCGTTCATACGTAAGAATCTTCATCTGATTGTGGATAGAAAGTATTTGTAATTAATAAGTACATATTCTGCCCTCTCTTCACTACTCCCTTTTTTCTCTCTCAATCTCTACTTTTTGTATCTCTCGCCTTTTTTTGTAAGCGCTACAGAGCGTCACAAATAATCAACACATAATCAAAAAACAAAAGATAATTTTTTGTAGATTCTCTTCAAATAAAATATTATCAATCATGAACGATGATTATGTTCCATCTGCATCTGTTGATAGTTATACAACACCAATGGAAGTACAAATACCCTTGTTAGAACCATCTTCAACTCATGATGGCTCTATTAATAAAGCTGTTAATAAATCTGTTGCTCCTAATACTAATAAATCAGGTTCTTCACCAACTATTGCAAAAATAGCTGGTAATTCCAATAAGTTATCTACTTTACGTGTTTCACAAAATTCAAATAATGAACCTAAAAATCAAACATTATTGGAGAAACTATTTCCTGTAGGTCAATTATTAAGAGTAGAATTATATCAAGCATTACTTAGTGAATTTATTGGAACATTTTTACTTGTATTAGTATGCACATCTACTGGTTTACCAATTACAATGAAACAAGTACCTGATATGCATGGTGCACTTGCAGCAGGTTTAATTGTTGCTACTATTGTTGTTGGTTTTGGTCATAATAGTGGAGCACATATTAATCCAGCTGTAACAGTATCATTTCTTGTTGCAAATGAAATTGATGTTTATCGAGCATTATTATATATTTTTGTGCAATTACTTGGTGCAACTACTGCTTCGAATGTATTAAGATTACTTGTACCTGATCATGCACAAGGTACTTTAGGTATGACAATGATAACAGAAGGTATATCACTTTCGCAAGCATTTATTATTGAATTTCTTATTACTTTTATCTTGTGCTATACTGTACATGCTATTTGTGATAAACGACGTGATGATATTGGTGGTTCAAAAGCTTTAGCTGTTGGTTTAGCTGTTACAATTGGTTGTTTATTCGGTGGTCCTTATACAGGTGCTTCAATGAATCCAGCTCGATCATTTGGACCAGCTAGTGTAATGCATATATGGAAAAATCATTGGATTTATTGGATTGGACCAATAGCTGGTTCCGTTGTAGCTGGATTAATGTATACACGTGTCTTGAGAAAACCAGCATCTGATTCTATGCCTAATACTCCACAGTCATCTACACGTCGTGTTCCACCAAATCATGTTTAGAAAACGAAGAAATTCTTGATAAATCTATTATTTATTTTCTCTTTTATTGATGAACAGTATATTGTTTGACTTTTGTTTTTATTCCTGCTAATAATTGATTCGCATCTCTCTGATGGATTTTTTTTGTATGTATGAGGAATTTTGTTTTTTTGATCCTCATAAATCTCGTAATTCATTTGATTACATGTATCGTTTACATAGAAATAATCGCAATATATGTTTTATTTTAGATATATTTCAAATTATCATTTAACAATAGAAATTTTATATGTAATTGCAAATATATAAATGTATATCTTCTTTTTTGTCTTTATTTTATATGAAAGCACAGATTGAATATATGTGTATGTGTGGAGTGATTTTTGATTTTGCCAAAAAGAGAGAGAGAGAGAAAAAAAATAGAAATTTTTAAAGTGTGCAAACAAACAAAAAAAATGTTTCTATGAAAGTTAAAATAGATTTTATGGGAAATGATCAAGAAAAGAAAAAAAAGAAAAATAAATATTTATATATAGATTCCATCGACAAAATAAACACAACACGAATATTATCCATTCTCATTTCACAGACAAACTACTCACTAGACTTTGAAAGAATCTCTCACGCGGGAAAAAGCATTCAAGTAGCTAATATTTGTTTTAAAAAAAAAAGAGACGAGAAACATTTTCTTTTTTTGCTATCTCAAAGGACGGATGGAGAAAAATATAATCTGACAAGTATGATGGAAAAAGAAAAAAAGAAAGAAAGAAAGTCACATTGAGTGTGCAATTATAGAAAATGAAAAAATAAGATTGAGGAAAGATTAACAATCAGAAAAAAAAGAAAACATCACACACACACGCACACACACATCACATTATAAGAAAAAAAAAGAAACGAATATAATCATCAACATCAATTGAATGTTATTGATCAAACATTGAATTGAGCTGAACACCAACAATATGTGGCAATTTTTGATGTTTATTGAGCTCACTTGTTGAAGGATATGTTCTTGATGTTGTATTTGTATTATGTGATTGTAGTTGATGATGATTTGTATGAGCTCCGTTAGCACCACCGATACTACTGTTTGTTCGACCACCAGCTGTACTGGTATCGCCATTTGATGTTTGATGAACGGTATGTAACTGATGATGACGTAGAACTGCTGATGGACGATTTGGTGGAGGAGCGTCAGATGGAGGTTTTGGTAAACGTCGACGAAGCCAAGGATGTCTAAAAGATGATAAATACGATCTTTGAACAACTGATTCATTTTTAACTATAAGTCATATCTTTTTTTTATTGATGTTGGAATTATTTTTCTCTAGAACTTATCGATCTTTATTTAAGTAGAATGTTTCATAGTTTATCTTATAAATTATTCAGGTATTGCTAACATCGCTTGTATTATAAATGTATCGATCGATAAAAGAAAAATATTTTCCTTCAACGATCTCCATCATTGAAGATAATTCTTACCGTAAGGCTTGTGCTGGTGTTATTCTTGTTTGTGGATCCCATTCGAAACAACGTTTAAGAAAATCAATAAACAATGGATCATCACAATTCTTCAATGCTTGTGATAATTCTCTACTACCCGGTGGTCCACGATGTTTTCCACGCTTTGAACGACCTATACGAAAAAAAAGAAACATGATAAGTTTCCTTGTAATAATATATATTTATGTGAGTTTTACCGCCTTGTAGAACAGTCGTTCCATCAGGTAATGTTGTCAATGCACAATATCGTGGATGTCCTTTGGAACTAATAAAATTTCTTCCTCGTTTTGAAGCATCAAGTACTTTTTGACTAGGCATTCCAATAACTTCAATGATACAACTTAATTGATCGCCTTCATCTTCGCCAGGAAATAGTGGCATACCAGTAAATAATTCACTTAATATACATCCAAGACTCCACATATCAATTGGTAAACCTATATATTTAATAAATTAATAATTTACATGAATATGTTTATATATATCAGACCATATTTAGCTCCAAGAATAATTTCTGGTGCTCTGTAAAATCTCGATTGAATATACGTATAAACTCTTTGATGTTCAAAACAACTCGAACCAAAATCAATCACTAAGAAGAAGAAAAAAATTTTATATCCAAACGAAAAACGAGTGTTTATAGAGCTTACCTTTAATACCACTTCTACCCTGTTGTTTCAATAATATATTTTCAGGTTTAAGATCTATATATATACATAATTATTTTATTTTATTTTTCATCTATAAATATTTCTTACCACAATGTATAATCTTATTTCGATATAATGCATCAAGACATTGTAATATACTATGTGCAAATTTTCTTACAAGTTGCAAACTAAAACCTTGAAACCGATTCTTTTTGATTAACCTATTGATGAATAATAAATAAAAAAAAAAGAACATATATATTTATTCATTAATTTAAAAATAGAATAAAGTGAAGAAAAAAAAATCTTTATTTACTCGTATAGATTCATTGAAAGTAATTCAAATGTAATACAGATATGATTACGAAATTGAAACCATTCAATAAGATGAATTACATTAAATGTATTATCACGATCTTGTTTACGTAAATGTTCAAGTATACGAATTTCTTCTTGAGCTTGACGATGAAAACGTTTTTCATTTCGAACTATTTTTAATGCAACGAGTTGACCAGTCTTATGATCATAACATTTAACAACAAGACCAAATGAACCTTTACCAAGAATTTTTAAAACTTCAAAACCTAAATCAAAAAAGAATTAATTAGAAGCTCGCTTTTGTTTATTAAAACATACGGTAGGCGATGTGATCATGTTGGACAGCAATATAAGAAGCATTTTCATCATCGTAATTACCTAGAAATAAAAATAATTCAATATAGATTTTTACCAAAATTTTGTTATTATTAATCGTAAATCATTTACTATTTTTTATACTGGAAGATTAGAATGTATATTTTATTAGAAACGAAATTATTTATAGAGATTCTAAAAAGATTATATCTATAAGTGAGCTATAAAATTTACTTTATCACGTACTTTTTTTCAACAGTTCAAAGAATTCAAGAAAAAAAACATTGTTGTACTTTAAGCTTTGAAGAACGTGTATGTAAAGGTCATAGACTCAATAAGAAAAGTGCTATCCATTTTAATAAATAAACTATTCACTTAACTAAACTACTTGAAATAACGACTCACTCATTACATTTTTAATAAAATTAGTTAAATTCTCATGAGAAAATTTTTCAAAAACATATTCATACCATTATTAGGACCGCCACCAACTCCTTGTCGTTTACGTGCATTTTGTCCAACAAAATAAATTTGTGGATAAGAAAATATTTCATGTCGTTCATACGCAGTCAATTTCGACATATATGTTTTCATTGCAGTATCAGGATCAAGTGCATTTGTTAAACGTCGTTGTTGAGATGATGAACGCATGCTTAGCACGCTATCAACACTTGGAGTTTTATGTATTGTTTGTTCCGAAGTTTGTTGTTGAGCAGCAGGGACTTGTGGTATACTATTATGATGTTGTTGATGATGATTATAATGATTATGATAACCATTTGTTCCATTATTATTCACTGTTGTAGAATTTCCATTAGCAAGTGTAGTCGAATCACCATACGGTAGTTTATGTGATATATATTGTTGTGACGGATGATGTGATAGAGCAGCTATAACAGGACTACTTTCATATAATTGTTGTACTTGTACGCCAGTTTGACGTTGTTGACGAGCACGAATTGGTGGGAGACTTGTTTGAGCTTGATAGTCATACATTGGATCTGTTGTATTAGTCTTATCTACTATGGAGGTAGTGGTAACAATGGCTAAAATAAAATAAAAAACGATAACGTGTTAAAAGTATTAGAACACCTATTTTATGAAAATCACGCTATATATGGTCAACCTACGCTTTTCTAACGAGTATTCGCACTTTTCCTTAAAAAAAAATATAGTCTACACGTAATTATATTTTACCGGAGCTGCTAGCTAAATTTGCTCGTTGACTATTTGTTAATGATGAAATTGAAGAAGCACGTGGAAATGCTTCCATATGGCTTGCTGTCATTCAATAAATAATGCTGTTTTCATTTGGAAAATTTAAAATATAACATACGGAAATAGAATATAAGTCTAACTGATGATTTTTTCTCTTTTCTACTTTCTTTTTTAACCTTTTTTTCTCTTTTACTCAACATACCATAAAATAAATTCTCTAGTTTTTCTTTTCCTAATGGTTCTTTTAACGGTGTTGTCGTATTATTAGTGTGTTTTCTTTTCTTCTTTTTTTTATATTAAAAAAAACGCATTTACAAGAATTTCTTTTTTCTTCTTCTTTCGTCTTTTTTTCTATCGAGAAAAAAACTCTAGTAGTTTCTTTTATTTTTACATACCTGTTCAACTATTTTTTAAAATTTTGTTAAAAACAAATAGCAAAAAAAAATGTGTCAGATTTGCAGCAAGGTCAATAATCTACTTTTTGTTTTTTTTGCTACGTATATTTCTCTTTGTCTACATGTGTATGAAAGAAAAAGTGCACATCAACAAAAACTAAAAAAAGAAATCGAGCGAGAGAGCGAGGTAAAAAATTGTATTTGTAAAATGTGATTAAAAACAGAGGCAACGACAACGACTAACAGAACAAGATCTTTTCTCTTTTCTTCTTTCATTATTTCAATCTGAAAATATGTTGAAAGAGTAAAAAATAAGAAAAGATTGACGAATTGAAACCACATACTGACAATAGAATATGTCTATCAAGGTCTTCTATCGTCCAGTTTCCCTCATCTGTTAATGACAAACATTGTATCAATATGTTTCTCTCATATTTGTTTTTTATTCGAAAAAAAGAAATGATATACGCACTCAAAACTTTTTTCCAACGTTCTTTGATACAATAAACTTTTGTTACTTTAAATATGTCACCTTATCTTACCATAGTTCTTTATTTTTCTTTTATTCTGCGACTATTTTTATGACGAAAACATGTCTCTTCCTAAAAATGAAATATGAAAAATAGAGGAGAAAAAGGTTATTTTTATGTATAGCAACAAAAATAAACAAAAATAAAAAATATTTTTTTTTCTTTGTATACATTAACAAAAAAACACGTTCTTTAACTTTATTATAAGAAGAAAAAAATATATTTTTGAATATTTATATTATTAAAAGATGATCACCACCTACCCGCTGCTCTCCCCTCGTTTCCTTATGTCGCGTACAGATGAGAATGTAAAGAGATGTAATCAAAAATTGTATTGTAATCTTTGATCTTGATTATCCTTTAGTAACTAAATAAAACGAGAGAACGTCATCACCATCAATAGATATGCTGACGTAACTCAACAGTAGGAGTGATAGTGGAGACATTATCGATCATCGCTTACTCAACAAATTTAACGTGCCAATTCAATAAATGCATGCGATCGGCTCCTCTCTATCGACAACGAACGATAGAGAGAGAAACAAACAATAATCTAAGATTAGTGATTAACATCTCAAAGTCATTATTGTATTGAATCAATAGTACATCAATAAAAAAAAGAACGATGATGTTATTTCTTTTTTTCTCATGAAAAATGATCATATGTATTTATTCAATAATCATATAAGAAATAATCTCGCTCTCTCGTACAAGGTCACTGAGATTAGTAGAATATTTAACAATATATATATATATATATTTCACATACCGTCTTATTATTGTTTTTGAACGAAAATTGATCAGTATATATAATAGATAACTATATTTGCATTTTGATAAACAAAATAATTAATATAGATTATTAAATTTATTGATATTACGATAGACACCTGGGTACATAGACATCTACAAGAAATTTGAAATCTAAAAAGCAAGATGAAGAAAATGCTGACATTTCTGTATTTATTTGTAAAATAAATAGCCTAAAATAATATTAGGGAGTAAAGAGAAAGAGAATGTTTGATTTGTGTACTTTAATGAGAAAAATATGTAACAGATGCTACTATGATGGCCATTATTCAACTGGTAACTGTGCATACCAAAAGAGGTTCGATACTTTTGTACATTTATGTAACAGTGGCATCTCTAACAGAATTTAAACAATGATGACTGGCGCCATCATATTTGCTATAGAATTCTTGTACATTTCTTTTTTTTTGGTATAAAGCTTGTCATACTTTCTGATGAAATAATCACGTGATGAGAAGATTGTTTATTTTAACTGCTAAGCATTTTTACATTCCATACTATATTGATTCTTTAAAAAACAATTTTATTTAATAAGAAGACAGGGCAAAGAGTTCTTTATTCGTCTACGAATGTTCTTTTACTACGCATAATATTAAATATTCTATTTTCAAAATTTTTACATACTAACATTCAGTTCATAGACAACTTTTATCAAATGTATTCTAATTAAATGAATCTTGTTCTACTCATTGATATGTAAAATTATAAAAAGACTTTTTTTTTTTTATAGATCATATATATATTTTGCAAAGTTTTTATTTCCAAATATCTTTGTTTGTTTTTCAAAATACATTCAAAAAAAAAGCAATGCTTGAAATATGTGCGGTGTTAACATAGAGTGTTCGTAAAAATTTTCCTTTGTGTTTATCATTATTTGCCAAGAAGGATACCTTCGTTCGGTAAATCACGTTTTCCCAAAAGTACAGCTTCATTTGGTAAATCACGTCTTCCCAAAAGTATAGCTTCATTTGGTAAATCACGTCTACCTAAAAGTACAGCTTCATGAGGTATTCGACGTTTTCCTAAAAGGACAGCTTCGTTAGGTAAATCACGTTTGCCTAAAAGTACAGCTTCATATGGTAATCGACGTTTACCAAGAAGAACAGCTTCATTTGGAAGTCGAGCTGCACGTTCTGTTTCACGTTTACCTAACATGATACCAACATAACCATCAGGTATGTCACTATTACTAAATGTGCGCTTGTCCATTGATAAACTTGAATCGTCTGATTCTTCATCAAATACTTTTTCAAAAGCTGAAGTATGATGTAATGGTGAAGCTTGCATTGAATTAATGAAGAAAAGTAAACCTGAGGAAACAAAAAAAGAAAAAAGTGTAAGTTATATTTCATTAACGTAACTAATCGATACTCATTTATCTTATATATTCATATGGGTGCTTTTAATGACATCAATTTAAACTTACCCATAGCGAATACAAGAGTGTAGATTATCGAATTGAAAACCATTTTGATTGGATTTGAAAGTTTATAAAGAATTAATAAATGAAGCTCAAATCTGAAATATATAATAAAAGATAGTTATATATATATATTTTGGAATTTACCTGTTTAGAGAATAATAGAAACAATGAGTATAATAGATGGACAAAGAAAAATGAGATAATGATTGTTAAATGAACTGATCAAGAAGATTTATATACTGTTTCTCTCTCTTTCTTTCTTCCCTCCCTCCCTCTCTCTTAGATCTAGGGGGAAGAGAACGAAATAAGTTCTTTTTATTTTTTTTGGTACTGTCAAAATAATCACATTACTTATGTAGGCGACTTTTGACTTTAAATATACAAAAGACGTTGACTTTATTTTGTTAAATTTTATTAATCAAATCAATATGAAATATACAATTAACTTATATATAAAAATATAAAAATTTCTTTCTTTTTTCTTTAAATATTTAAATCAAATTGATAAACATATTCGTTTAGCCTCAAGGCAATATGACAATCAAAATGATGTGCTTCCACTTATAACCATTGTTCTTTTCTTTTCTTTTGATTATATAATTATCAAAATGATTCCCTTGGGTATAAACACTTACTTGTTTTATTAATCAGACAAGTTGAAGTATATGCACATCATAATTATTGTCATTGCGTATACAAATTCGATAAGTGACATAAACAATACATACACACACTTCAAATATTAACAAGAAAAGTTGATTGTCTATATGAAAGATTAATGTTCCTAAAACTTTAAGTAGCTTTCTCTGTCATTTGACTAAAAGAAAAGAAAGATAGTCTAGGTTAATATAAGTACATATAAATAATTTAAAATAATTTTTTCTGCGGGTTTAGAACAGTTGCTATGAGTCACCCACATCTAGTCCTACGAGCAACTGCTTGTTTCCTCTTTACTAGAGATCACTTCATATGATGATATTGAAAATCAGCTATAGTAGATTTTATTCCAGCATATTCGAGTTTGAAATTTCTAGAAGTAGATGTACAAAGAAAAAGATATCTATGAAGAATATGTTGACTATCATGGTATACATAAAGTCTGATAAAGTCTTAAGGAAGTAATATATTCTCGATACTGAATACTCAGTCATAGATAGATAGGAGACGAAAGGTTCTGTTTTAAGAAATCAGACAATCTTAAATCTACAGTGCTAGTTTTAGATTGTTATTTGATTTAGTAGATCTTACAAAGTTTCTGCCATTGTAAGTTTTTTATCTCAAAATATTTCAAATGAATAAATGAGAACTCATCATAACTAGGTTTTTACTTATGCATACAAATATAAACTCAATTCACTTTTGGTAGTTTCATCTTTTACTGACTGTTATCGAAAGAATCTAATGAGAAATTTACTTTCGTTGAAATAACTAAAAGAAAATGAATCCTACCTTTGATTTAAGAAAAACAACTATATATAAATAAATATATATACATGTATGTATGCATACGAAGGTGAAACAGAGGAAAGAGAAACGACAAATATCAGTTAAGGACAAACAATAGAAGTGAATCGATGATGTAAGGATATCATCAAAACGAATGGAAAACAAAGAAAGATATATGTTATGGCGTTTCGCTGTAACATGCTTTCTCTGACAAATGAAAATATAGTTTATCAACATTTTGAAAGGGAAAATATAAGTAGAGATAGAAAATAAGTAACGACATAGAGAAAGATATAGAATGAAGGTTAACATGAAAATGTCAAAAAGTGAAAGTAACATATAGATAATATATGGAATGAACAAGAAGAATAATGAAAATTTATCAATCCATATACTAGAATAACTAATATGTTCATGATTATAAATATTCACTGAATTATGATGAAGAATCTTTTTTACATCTGTTACTATAAATTAGATGATTAATTCTGTGAGGGATTATTCTGTACTTATAAGATTTCTAATATTGTCTTCATGTATCACTACTGTTGTATATCTTTTTTCTTTCTCTTAAAATTAATTAACTAAGTTTTTCATATTCCTTTATAAAACTTGTTCGCTCATTTGTTTAATTTTACGCAGCAGGTTCAATATAACATGTGAAGATAGATGAAATGAGTTATGTAAATGATATATTATTATCAGTTGAACTGATTGGAGATAATTTAAATGTATTATAATCAATATATTTCTTCGACTACCCGTGTAGTCGGTTGTTCCATTATCATATGTAATTATTGCCATTATTTCCCATTATAATAACAATAATTACATATTAATGCAACAATCGGCTGCAGTGGTAAAGTCTGAAATCAAATTTTGCGATTTTCATTCTAATCATTATTCGTTGTATTGGCAAGCAATCATACAATACATATGCTGTAAATTGTTGTTAATATTGTTTTTCTCTGGAATCTAACCGGATATCAAGTCTTTCATTACTTAAAAATTTTGGAACATTACTCTTTAATAAACATGCACGCGAATCTTGGACAGAGAGTAAGGCGATGATAGTTTCTTCTCGATACATCTTGTAAAGTATCAGATACTATTGCTGATTCCAAAGAAGTTTTGATTGATTTTGTAAATTAAATAAATTGATAAAAATAATTTATATTCAACGAAATATTGAAATCAATTGTGATTATCAGGAGGAAAATAAAATATTTTTTATTGTAATAATGAGTGATAAATTATGTAATAAAATTATTTGCATTTGAATTAATATCGATTATTTTTCTTCTAGTATACATTTAATGATGGGTGTGGATATAGTATTCGTCACTCGCCTATGTCTACACCCATTCATTAAATGTTGAAGTGTTTCATTGTAAGACTAGCCTAGCTAAAGATCTTCAGTATATAAACAAACGAACATTCAAGTCTGTTCGCATGAGCTTCGTAAGCCTTATCATATTTTCAAATAAGTGATCGCCTTCGTAATTATTTGACATTTCTCCTTTTTACCAATTGAAATTATCTTCGTAAGTATATAAAAGCAATAAGGTCCTAAATTTTTTGAATATATCAAATTGATTAAAGAAAAGATTAGAAACCATGAAATAAATATCGAGAAGTTAAACGAAACAAAAAAATCAGTATTTATTGCTTCTCTTGTTCAATTTCAATTTGAATCAATAAGATCTCCGTAGTTTGAACTTTTCCGATTTGACTGGATGGATTCTCATGCATTTCAATTCAATTAATTGAGCCATCTCTTTTATTCTTGAGATTCTCGTATATGATATTCGAAATTATCTTTTTTTTAAATACTTTTCATAACTATTATCGTCTACCAAAGATACATTTGTAATTGTATTCAATGACGATTTTAAACTTGAAAAAAAAAACAAGTAAAAATATTTAATCTTGCTCAGACAAATTTATTGAATAAATTTCATCAAAAAATCTTCAGATTAACGTGAAGAAATATCAAAACATCATCGCAAGAATTTACATATAAATATATGTTAGTCAATAATCTATTTAATACTATTCTCTACAGCATTCGAATACGAATTTGTGTTTTAATATCTTTATCGAAGACCAGCCGTCTAAAAGTGAAAAAAATACTATATGACTACTTCTAATCCATTTAGTAGAATAGTTTGTTTAACTGGTATATGAATGGTAGTAGTAACGAGAAAAAACGAATTTAATGCCTCTATTAAGATTTTCGAAACATGGTAGTCCAATAGAAACAATACTAGGCAGAGGTCATCAAAGTATATAAAAATATAAATGAACAGAATCGTTTCAATACTGATCTTCTTTCATAGACTAATAAAATAGAGTGTGGTTTTTTTTAAATTCGAAAATGGTGAATATTAACAAGAAGTGAAATTGAAAAATAGCTTCATTATTATAAGATAATAGTGAAGATTGTTTAAAAAGTGTATCGAGCTAGTTAGTCACTAAATATCGTTGTAAAGCAAATAATTTTTTAATTTGACAAATTCTATTTCACAATCATACATATCTATGATTGTATATTCTGTCGAGTTTACCTAAACAGTGTCAATAATTGCTTCATCGGATATCTTCAGTTAATATATCTGTTTCATAATAGATTAACAATCTTTTCACTGCACAGCTAAATTTATCATATATGTTTTCAAAAAAAGGAATTAACTACATAAAAAAAAAACCAAAATTTAGTTTGTCTGTTTTTGTTTGTATTGTCCAATCGATTCTGCCCGTTTACGTGCCCATTCTGGTAGTGGTGCATTCCAATCACTTGGTGGTTCGGTTCTAGGTTGCCATACATCATTATTTTCTGCAGATAATTTCCGTCGAATAAGACGATCTTCTTCATAAGATATCAAGTTTTTCTAATACAATAAAAAAGTCTTTATTAAACTTAATTATATAGAAAGACAAATAAAAAACTCTTCTTACTAATTCTTGAACATCTTTTCGTTGTAACCAAAACATGCAATTATGTAATGCTTCAGCAATTGGTGCACAATCTTTCCGTTCACCTAACATATATCTTTGATGTAATCGACCTCGCCAACCTAATTATAAAAAGATTTTTCGAAAAATAAAATTTGACAATAAAATCTTACTTCGACAATAGCTTAATTCATCATTGTATTCTTCACATGGTTTAATCTATAAATAATATACAAGAAAAGAATAATTCTTTTTTTATTTTGTTTTAATCAATTACCAGCCATTGACCAGGTATTTCATTTTTTACATCTGAAGTATTTGACATTATCTATAAGAAAAACAAAACAAAACAATTGTTATACAAAAGTCATTATTATTAAAGCTCAACTACAAAACACACACACACACACACACATTCAAATAAAAACAAAATTCTCTTAAGGACGTGTTCGTAGACCCCAAATTGCTGTTCGACGGACACCATAAGTAGGTCGAGCAACATAAGAAAAACGTTGTTGATTTAAACTAATCGATGAACCAAGTAAAGAATTTAATTTTTCTAAACCACGTTGATCAACAACACCAAATATATCCAATGAATTAAGATGACGTAATTGTTTTAATGATCTAATTAGTTTTAATAATAATAAAAAGAAGATACATATTACTTTTCTTGAAATGAATACATACGCATAAGTAATAGGTGCAATTGCATAACAACGTGAAAATGCAATATGTTCTAAATGAAGACAATTACGTAGAACACTCGTTACTGATTTATCAGTAATTAAACTTGAATCACTTAAATCAAGAACACGTAGACGAACAGCACGACGTGTTAAATTTTCAACGCCTGAAAAAAAGAAAAGGATTTTATAATTACGAATGATAATACAATATTCCTCAGCGATAGACATGAGTAAAACTAATAACAAGGAGTTTATTTATTTACCGAAATCGTTTATTCTCAAGATGATAAATCTATGCATTGTGAGTATTAATTTAAAAATTTTTCAATTAAGTGGTGATTACGATCTCTCCTCAACTTTGTAATTATCATTCTATGATGAAATTTAGCTGAAAAGTCTTATAGACCAAAACACATTATCTCACAAGTAGAACTCATAGAATAAAATCTAAGTACATGATAACTTTATTATCATAAGACTGACTGAAGAATATGTTGAGTGTGTTAGTCCTTAGTAAACATAAATGAAGTTCTTATTGACTGAATGATTCCTTGAAAGTATTAGAAGTACAGTTCATATCCGAATTGAAGCTCCATAGAAATCTAATAATTCGTATTAACTACTTTTAGATCGTTTTTCTGAAAAATCCACTATTCATAACGAAAAAACTTTTATTATCTAGATTCTCTTACATTCATCAGTCATTGCTTGTCGAAAACCAGTTATTGTTAAATGTTCAATACTTGCTTGAATTGTTCGACATATATAATGTAAACATTGTTCACTTAATTGTGTCCAACCCAAATTTAAATATCGTAAACTATTATAATCAAATAATAAACAATTAAATATTTGTTTTTTTGAAAAAGAAATATATTTAAATACTGTCTCATTTGTCCCGTTAATATTGAGCAACAATCAAGATCCATTCCACTACACATCGTTAAATTTAATGTATCCAACTGTGGATTTAATGCTAATTTTCTAAATTATAATAAATAGTTTTTGAGTAATTTTAAAATTTCATTTACTCAAATATCAATGAATTCAATATTAATGTTTCTAGACTAATTTTACGAAGTGATCGGCAAGCACTTATTAAACTCAGCAAGCAATCAGTTGAAATTGTCGCAAGGGTTAAATCAAGAAATTGAAGTTTTGTAAACCTATAAAAATATTGAATTCATCAAAAAAAACAAGAAGTTAAATATAAATCTCAACCATGTATTTCGATTTGGTGAATAAATAGAATTTCCATGAACCTAGATTATAAATATTAGTAATTGAATAACTAATAAATATTCATTAACGAACAGTTGTTTGATACATTTTAAGAATAATTGTACCACGTAAAAGAACATCACGTAAATAACAAGTTTCGATATGTTTTCGAGACATATCTATTCGACACCATAAACTTGGATCATAACTATAAAGTAATAAATACATTTTTTTATTCTAATTATTCGCAGAAGTTTTTACATACGTTAAAGAACGTAATCGGCGACAAATTTGAGTCATAGCAGCTAATGATGCACGAGGAAGGTATTTCAAAATTGATAAAATTAATTCATCAGATAATAAATTAAAATAATCTATATAATTAAATAGAATATAAATAAAGAAAAAAATTTGTGTCAAGAAATATTAACCTTTCTGTTTTGAATTTGTTACATTCACATAAGTTCTCGTTTTATTCTCTTTCATGGGTAAAATGGTAGATAAATCAACAGGACGAAATCGAATACGAAGTGGACCATTCTCTGTTAATGATATTCTCTACATAAAATTTTTATTATTTCAATGTAATAAAAAAATTAAAGAATATATACCGATTGATTTAAACTTGTACTAGATAATTGTCTGGTGATAGTTGCTGAAGAAACTCGTGCTGATACTGGTTGTTGCGAATCATCATCATCATCAATACCATTAAAATATGTACTACGATTGTCGAATAGATCTTCTGGTGCTTTTGAACATATATTACTATGCACATTGATATGATTTCTAAATAGAAAAAAAATATGAACCTTAGTCTGCCATCAATCTAAGAATGATAGAATACTAGAAAATATTCTTACTACTCATTAATAATAAAACTTACTGTGGAATAATTTGTGGAATGAGATCAGTCGAATCACAGCGTGCTAAAGATCGTGTTGGACCTTGATGTTTCAATGCTTGATAACGTTCTTTAACTTTTGACGGCTCCATTGTTAACTGTTCTAAACATCATCAATCATATCAATAAAAGTTCAATGTTTATCATTTTTTTTATATCTCTCGCATATATATATATATATAT